GAGAAAGCCACAGGTCTTAATAATTTATTTGTTTAGTTGCATTTTATTTTTGCTGTGCTGTGATAGAACCCAGAGCCACAAACACATTGGACAGGTGCTCTGCCCTGATCCCAAAGCCCATGAGCTTGCTCTCCAAGGCACTTGGCATCTGTGCCCTAACCTTTCCAGGCTAACCAGTCATGGGCATTCAGCCTTACAAAGTTATATTTTAACCACTGTTTCCAGTTTTGTGGTTAGTGTTATCTTTAAAAAAAAAAACTTCATTTTTACCCTGTCTACTTGGTTGATCTCAGCCATTAAAATTCAGTTCCATGCCTCACCTGTTTCTTAAATTGTGAATTCCTAGAGATTTTTTTCCTTAACAGACTTTCGTTTTTAACAAATCTGCTTTTGGGCAGCTTCAGAAAATGAGAGCCTCTCCGAGCCCCCTCCCACTCCCTCTTAACCCCCCACCCCACCCCCTAGCCGAGTTCCCTGAAGACTGTGAGACTAAGGCATCAAGGGTGTGGGAAGAGTACATAAAAGATAGGAGCAGTGAGGAGGGCTGGGACCAAGGTATCCTGGGAAAATTTCCCGGGAGTGACAAGTAGGAGAGGTGGGGCTGAAGGAAGAGGGCAGTTTGGGAACAAGGAGCTTAACTTTGGGTCTAGTTTTTACTACAAAGCTGGATGACTGTGGCCAAGTCATTTCCTTCTCTGAATCTCAGTTTTCCCACACAGAAAATGAAGCTAAAAATTCTGTGTCTCGGAGAACTGTGTGAACGTGCAATGGAACAATGGACAGTCTGGACCTCAAAATTCCTACCTACTATGAAAAGCTCCTCCCTCCAAGGGACAATGAACCTCCAAGTTTGAAACACTCCTAATTCATTGTTTTGCATCAATCTGTGGGACCTAGACCATAAGAAGCACCCAAAAGACATGATGAGTGAGGCAGCTGAAGGGTATGTAGCACTCTTGGGACCCAAGGGTGTATATGAATCTGATCTCTTAATTTCCCTCAAGGGAAAGAGCAGTATATGTAGTTAATTGTCATTTTATCCTAACACAGCATCTAGCACAAAGCAGATTCCATAAGTATCTATGGAATGAGCAAGTGAATGCTGGGCTCTCCTTTGGTCCAATGGGTAGCCTCTGTGTATTCTGATTCCTGAGCTCCCTCTCTATAAAGGGTTGAAGGCTTTTCTCAGGTGGTCCTCTGACATGCCGCATTTCTAGAATCATACTCACTACTTTGTTATTATTTTGCTTCCCTCACCAACTTCTCCCACGCTACAGGGCCTGTGATGACATAATCTATTCAAACCCATTCTCTGGTTAGTGTCATTTTTTGTTTGTGTTTGTCAACTTGTACAAACTGGCATTAGTGTCATCTAGGAAGTGTGAGCATCAACTGAGAAACTGCCACTATCAGACTGGCCTATAGGGCAGGCCTGTGGCATGTTTTATGGGTTAATGAGTGATATGTGAAGGCCCAGGTCACAGTGGAAAGGTAGCTGTGTAAGAAAGCAAGCCAGTACGCAGCACTTCTACATAGTCCCTGCTCCAGGTCCTGCCCTGCTTAGTTCCTTCCTTGGCTTCCCTTACTGATATACTGGGATCAAGACACAAGACAAATAAAGCCCCTTTCTCCCCAAGTTGCTTTTGGTAAGTGTTTTACCACAGCAACAAAAAGCCACAAGAGAACACCCTGACACCTAGCACAGAGATAGAACTCTAAAAAGGAGCAAAAAAAAAAAAAAAAAAAGAAGGGGGGCGGGGGTCAAAATCAGTTGGTTTGTTTTTCAGGGGACCTCTCTAGTAATCAACCAATCTCTATCAACTAGACAAGTGAGTGAGGGTGTACATGAGTAAATCACCGGGAAACGCTAGAGATGGCAGCTGTGAGAGAAGGATCCTGAAATTCACTAGGACATCAGGGCCTAGGTCTGTGTCTGGATAGTACTTACTTGATTTTTATCCTCGGGAATGAGTCTTTGCCTTCCTTTTGTTTTTGTTTCTTTACCTGTTTCTTTACCTGTAAAAGAAATATTGTAAATCTTCTTAGTCTGTCATTTAGAAATCTTGAACCTTAGTAATTATGTCCTACATTTTGGATATATGGAGCCTTATACTCCAAAATATGTCTTGTATGAAGGATGTGTGTGTGTGGGGGGGGGGGACTAGGGGGATAATAGGATGGAAACAATTCCAAGAATTAGATGGACAAAACTATGAGGAGAAGACAAAAGGGGCTGGGACTGTAGCTAGTGTGATCAAGGCCCTGGCTTTGATCCTGAGTATCACACACACAAAAGACCCAGAAACGAAGACATGGGCACAGAATTATAAGGGCCATGCTGTTTACCAGTAGAATGCAGCCCTGTGCCTTAAGCAGGCTATAAAAAACATAGATGGGGAAGGAAGGTACCATTTATAAGATTATTCAAATAAAATACATTTCTGCTGAATAAAATAGCAAAGACCAAGTTGAAAGATCAGACCCAGTTTAGAAAAAAATAAATGCCATGTGTTTAACACAAAGAATAAATCAACTCAAATAGTAGACAGGACATAAATAATTATAGAAATTCTAATTCAGCATGAGGAATAATAGGCAAGAAGGTATGGATTTACAACTAAAGGGACAAGAAGGAACATAGCTCCTAGGTCACATTGTCTAGAATGTAAACCTAATAGAAGCTGGAACTTATCTTTATGGTAGAAAATGGAAAGACCAAGGTCCTGCTGGTTAACTTCAGCTACCTCTGACTCTCTCTCAAATTTGAAAGCTAATGTCAAGCTGACTTTAGTATCACCTAGCTCCAACAAACATGTATCTTTTGCCTGTCTGTCTCCCACACTGGGCCCTGCATCACTCCCACACCCCAATCCCACACAGGCACCTATGCTCCTTATTTGCATACATTTGCTTATTCCATTCCTTTGGCCTATTACACGTCTGTCTTTCTTTATCTTGAGTCATGCAATTACCTCTCCTGTACCTCCTTATTTCCAGACTGACCTTTCTTAGGTCCACTTCATTTCTTTTTAAAATGTATTTCTTTTTAATTTATGTATATGAGAGTTCTGTCTACATGTATGCCTGTGACCCCAATGTCCATGGAAGACAAAAGTGGGCACTGGAACCCCTGGAACTGGAATTATAGATGGTTGTGCTGGGAACTGAACTGGAATCCTCTGCATGAATACCAAGTGTTCTTAACTGCTGAGCTATTTTTCCAACCATTGGGTGAGGGTTTCTCTGTGTAGCCCTGGCTGTCTATGAACTAGTTTTCCAACTCACAGATATCTATCTGCCTGTCTCTGCCCCCGGAGTGCTGGAATTAAAGGTGTGTGCCATCACCTGCCAGCCTGGGCCTATTTCTTAATAGAGGTACTCTATTACAGTGTATTAGAATGGCCTGGTTTCCTGACTGCTCTCTATCACACCAACATCAAACTGAGTCTAAGGCCCCCCAAAGCAAACCTAGGTCCTAGTAATCTCTTCATCTCTAGCATCTCAAACAGGATGTGGCCTACAGTAGGAAGATTCATAATAGATGCTACCCTGATGAAATAGAGTCATAAACAAAATGCTGCAGGAGTACTTTGTTTTGTCTAAAAGGAAGGAAAAAGCAAGGATTGAGGAGGGATTTGAAAAGTAGGTGACATTGGTGCTGGGTGCTGAGAAATAAGTTGCAAGAAGAATAATGGCAACAATAAAAAGTTATGAGGCATTCAACTACAGTGGCCAGGAATTGTTTGACAGAGGATGAAAATCTGGTATTCTTTAATGATCACTGTTTTCATATGAACATTAGCTTTGCCAAGACAGATTTCATCTGTTTCATTCAGCGGTATATTCTGAGTGATAGAACAGGACTGACTATATACTAAGCAATTCAGAGGCTGGGCATGGTAGTGCATGCCTTTAGTTTCAGCACTCAGGAGGCAGAGGCAGAGACAGAGGAAGAGACAGAGGGAAAGGGAGAGGCAGGAGGTCTCTGTGGATTTTAAGCCAATCTGCCTACATAGTGAGTTTCAGGCCAGCCAGAATCTTGTCAGCCAGACCTCCTCTCAGAAAAACAAGACAATAATGTCTAAAAATTCAGTATTTGCCCCACCATCTATATATTTATGGGAAGTATATGGGTATAAAAGTTAAATAATACAATCTAATATGGCATAAAGTAGTATTACCATGCGATAATTTAAGCCTCTATAGTAGCAACAAGATCCATTTTCCTTATATGCCGTAGTACAGTGTCAAGTTTTATGGTGCTCAATATTTTTTCTTAATATTTTCAAAATAAGAATGTCAATCTGGAAACATGCTTTTAATTAAAAACAAACAAACAAACAAAAAAAAAACAAACTAAAAACTTGGCTTCAACTGTGTTCTGACCCATGTTCTCTGCCTTCTGGTAAGTTCATTTCCTTGTCAAGACAGCATTATTTTGAGACTGAACACAGGATGAATGGATGTTAAGTGCATCTAGGGCACTGCCTGGCAGGCAGTATGCACTCAATAAATGACAGTTCTACACGAAAAACTACTAACAGCAAGATGATAGTTCCTTTGGAGAGAATACTAGAACTAATACTTTTAACAACAGGAATAGAAAAGGGTGAAAAGCTAGCTCTTCTTCACATCTTAGGAGACTACCTTTGGGGCTGGGAAAACTCTTAACTCAAGCAAACTAAGTTTCTAGCCACACCTGCCTCCGGCGTCGCTTCCGCCTCCGAACAGTCCGCGGAGGCGTTGTCCCAGACAGGCGGGATGCACGCCTGCGAACCTCACGGGAATCTCGGAGTTGCTCCACGGTGGCGCTTGCCACAGCCTTCCCCACCCACTCCTTAGTAACCGCGCCGCTGCGGCTAGCAACGAAGGCGGCAACCGGCGACCGCAGATTCTAACTACAAGTCCCGTCAAGCCCTGCGGCCACTTTCAGCCCTTGTCAGCACACCGAACTACGGATCCCGATGGGCTCTGCGTATCATATCACGTGGGCAGGTTTAGCCAATCACCTTTGGACAAGTCGTAGGGGAGGGAGACACGGAGGGAGACAAGATGGCGGCGGCGGCGTCGCAAGGCGGGAGGAGCGGCGGTGGTGGAGGCAGTAGTGGGGCTGGCGGCGGCCTCAGCTGCGGGACAAGCAGCAGCCGCAGTGGTTTGTTGGATAAGGTGAGGATCTGGGTCCTGGGGACAGTCTAGAGCCCTGGGGATGCCCAGGAGGTGATGAGCCGGCCGTCCCATCCCCGCCCCCCTTTTCTGCGGCTTCTTGAGGAGCGCTCCTCTGTAGTCCACCAACGCACGCTTGTAGTCTGTTCTCTTTACACATTCGAAGCCAAGTCTTCTCTTTAGGTCACTTCTTCGCAAGTGTGCTGGTCCCTAACACCGGCCACTGCAGCTTCTCATAGTTATGTCTATATTTCACTGTAATGATGTGTTTCTGCTGTGCTTTGAGGGCCAATCTTGAAAGTGCCCATTTCAACAAGACTGAAAACTGCTCGAAGTCGGTGTTCCCCAAACTTCCACCGTCGCCCTCGCGAGTTGCTATCGAGTCCAAAGAGCTCCCTGGCCTTTTACTCACTGAAGTTTTTAGGCGATTTTTTTTTTTCATGATACTTCAAATAGTGAAATATTCGTTTGTTGACTTCACTTGCTGGGCTGACAGGAAGCCTTAAGCGTTCCCTTTTGCATCCCCTGCCTTCTCTTTACCCCTGCTGTCTTTACCAGCTAGCTGCTTTTCCACTCTGCCTACCCAATTATTAGAGAAATACTACATCTTGATCCATAAGGGCTTAAAGGAAGGGGGGGTGCTCCTGGATTGACCTTCTTGCCTTTTGCACAGCATCTTGGAAGAAACAGTTATGTGAAAAACAGGTCTAGTATTATCTGTTTCTAGCCGTGTGGCCTGTTCTTCCCATGTCTGTTACATCTGCAAAATGAAGGATTTAGCCTGGATATGTCTTACGGCCTGCTTCCAGTGTTCTTGTCCCTGGCTGATGTGGTATGTCGTGCTTTAATACTAAACCATTTTTTTCTTGAAACATTTTAATCTCAAAGTTTTCTGATTCCTCTGTGCCAAACAGATAACTAGTGCTCAAGAAATGAATAGCTGATCATGTTGGGAGCTTCCAACCAAGGATTTGCATATCTTCTTACATAGTAAGCAAATCCTCTACTGCTGAGCCACACCTCCAGTTCTTTTGTTTTTTTGGGGGTCATTAGGTTCAAATTGAGATAGGGTCTTGCTGTGTAGCTAAGCTGGCCTCTGAACCTCCTGCCTCTGTCTTCTGACTACTCTCACAGTCTTAATACTTAAGAAATAGGAATATGTTGTGGGACTTGGTTGGCACTCTCTGTTAAAAATTCACCCTTTCTATTGGTGTGCATCTCAGAGCTTGTGCTGAGCCTTCCCCGGGTGACTTTTGTCTCTCCTGCTTGGATTATCACCAGCAATCATAAACATGGACATTCTGGCAAGGCAGAGATTACTAAACACAGTGTTCTTGTTGTCTGTGAAGGCCTAGTTTCAGGATTCACTGCAGGTTTTTGGTATCCAGCGATGCTCAGATCATTAGTAAAATGGTATGATATTTGTGTATAAGCTACATGGCCCCCAGTATACTTTAAATCACCTTTAGATTATTTAGAATATTTACTGCAAAGTAAATGCTGTGAATCAGGACAATACAAAGGGGTTTTTTTTTGTTTGTTTGTTTTGTTTTGTTTTTTGAATACTGTCTATACATGATTGTTTCTTGCCCGTGCGATATTGTTATAGAGAGCTGACTGTAGTATTTGGCATCATTGTGTTAGGATAATTTGGCTTTAAGTATCTCTCCTACTAGAAAAAAGTATGAAGACTGTCAAGTTACTTAACCTTAGTACCTTTCTCATTTTTCTTCTGAAATGTTGAGAGTCTCTGGTAACTCTATGACAGGGCTTGGGTGCAGAATCAAGACAATCTATCAACCTCTGCAATGTAAAGTATACTGTGTAGTGATGAAGGGAAATGTCAAGTTCCTGTTATTAGAGTACTCAGACTAGCCAAAGAGGAAGTGGAGTATTCACAATAAGTGTATTTAAGGAAACACATGGCATATTTCAAAGGTGCTTTTTGCAGAAATTCAAATGAGAGAATGGTTCTTGAGAACTGATCATTACGAGGGAGAGTCCTGGGATGAAAGGCTCTATGTCTGAGTAGAGTTCAGACATGCTTTTGAGAATGAGAAGAACTTATCAAGTAAGAAAGTTATTTATTGCATTTGATGTATTTTGGTGTGTGTGTGTGTGTGTGTGTTTCGGCATTGGTGTGGAGGTCAGAGAACAACTTTTGAGAATCGGTTCTCTCCTACTGTGTGTGACCCTGGGATCCTTGGAGGCTTGACCATCTTTCTGGTCCTCAAGTCTTTCTTGAGGAAAGATGGACAGAATATGATGGTGATGGACATCTCTTAGTAGGCTTACTAGGAGGGTCTCTAAGTAAAGTCAGTGATGGTAGAGTTAGACTGGAGAGGTGTCACTTAAGTGGGAGTGGGATGTAAAGGCTTTTGAGACTATGTAAAGTGACTTTAGGAAAATTATTCACATAATGCACAGAATTAGACATATAATAAGGCCATAGACTACTGTGTAGGATTTCATAGAAGAAGGGTAAGTTTGAGTTCTAGTGTAGCATACTAAAAACCTTGGATGATTTTTCATTACTGAACTTGAATTTCTTTGCCACAATAAATATTGTAGGTATTCTCATTATAGGCTTGTTACAATACAGGTAAAGTTCATTTTAAAGGCCTGGGTAAAAACTGGATGGTGAGATGATGAAATCCCCAACTGGGGTATCAGAAAGGGGTAAAATGTCCTCATGTCCTCATAGAGGAACATTGGAAGATTATTTGGTTTGTGAAAATATGGTGACACTGTGTAATACACATTGGTCTTGAAATTTAGGGTCTTACTGCATCAGCCTGCCTAATGGTGAGGTTATAGGCATGTTCAGCAACTTGGAAGAAATGAGAAACAGATGTTCATGCCCCTGACTGGCAAGAAATGAGAGACAGAAGAGGGAAAATAGTCAAGAGCTGTTTAATACTCTTTGTCCTGGAAAGCTGCCTTTCTGCTTAAATTGACTTGTTCCCTTTCTAAATTCCAGAAGCACCTGGCACATCTGGGAGGTGACTTAGTTTTACTGATTTGTATTTTTCCAGTTTCCTGTGAGGGTTGCTCCACACAGATTATTGAAGAGCCAGTGCTCACAGCCCTGAATTAAGCCTAGAAAAATGCCCCTCGGTCTTAGGAAGAGCTGTAGAGGATGCTGTTCGAAGTGTCTGAGAAACACTGACTGCTGAGGTGGAGAATCTGGGGCTTGTCCTGAGTGGAACAGTCCTACACAAACAGGATTTGTTCTGAGGAAGTGAGAGCATGGGGCGTGTTCACATCAGGACAGTGCCTTTCATTTACTCTCTTCGATTTGGTTTCTCTTCTTGCTTTTTTCCTTCCTTTGGGGGAGGAAGGTTTTTATTTCCATACCTGTCATTTCACTTGCCATGAAGAAATTCAGTCAAGGTATATGAATGTGCTTCTCCATTTCTCTCCACGGATGTAGGTTTCTGCTCCTCTGAAATGGACTTTAAGAACAAAACGGCACCTGTTTCCTGATAAAAATAAGGTTGCACTCTGATCTTCCCTCTGGAAGAGACTTCGTTAGTTGGTTTGGCCCACATCTATCATTGCTTTTTGTTCTGTGTAGCAGCTATAAAGTATAGCTATTTCCCAATTTGTTTGGTATGTTAAGAATTGACATGTTAATTTTTTATTTTTGTAAACTGTTATCCAAACCTTTAAAATCTCATAACCTGAGTCTGTCTCATGGTTGGATTCTCAGCCTAACCTTAGAAGACAACTTCTATATCTTGGTTAATGAGAACATACATAGCCCTGGGGCCAGCTTTGACAGCCCCTAGCTTTGAATTCTGGCACTCCCCAGATGTGTATTCATGGGCCAGTTAACAGCTCTCTTTGTGACTCAGTTTCTGCACCTGTGAAGTGGAGCTGATAACAGTTTGTGAATGCACAAGACCTCTCTGGATTTTGATTTCCTTGGATAAATATTTTTAGTACATGATGTGAAAATTGTCAGTATCAGATTCCCTTGGTTTTTAATTTAAAACGATAGATTTCTGTACTTCCCAGGTCAGAACAAGATTTTGTAGTATTGAGGCCTGGTAACTCTTTGTTACCTGTACGTTATGAAAGTAAGTTTTAAAATGAAATGCATATATAATACTTAGATTATACTGTCCATGGTTTTTACTATAAGGTCAGAGGGTCACTAGTAGGCAATTTCAGAAAATTTTTATAGGTTCCCCCCGCTAAAAGCTCCATACCCATTAGCAGTCATACCCTAGTCCCTCTTCTTAACTCTAGGCCACCACAGAAAATTTTTTTCAGTGAGGAAGCCCAAACAGAGAGTCTCATGCATTCTAAGCAAAACTATGCCACTAAGCTAAGGCTCCAACCCTCACAAAACCAGTTTCTGTCTGGATTTGTCTGTTTTGAACATTTTACATAAATGAAATTATACGTATGTCTTAGGACTTTTCATTGCTTTGAAGAGACACCATGACTATGGAAAACTTTTGTAAAGGAAAACATTTAACTGGGGTGGCTCACTTACAGGTCAGAGGTTCAGTCCATTATCATTATTATGGGACACGGCAATGTGCAAGCAGACATGGTGCTGGAGAAGTAACTTAGAGTCCTATGTCATGCAAATAACAGGAAGGCTTATGTACCAGTCCTCACCTTTTTCCAGCTCCCTCCTCACCACAGGTGCATAGGTATTTAAAACATTCACAGCTGCATCGTTTTTCACAGGGTCATGTGGCCTATTGGTTCCAAATCAGTCTTCACCCTCGTGCGACCAGTGCTCTACCCACTGAATCACTTCCTCTGACGGATACTGCTACGTCACATTTTGTTTTTCCATTTGTCAGTTAATGTTTGAGTCGTGCACCTTTTGGCTCTGTGATACCTGCTATAAATATATTTGTCAACTGGGTGGATATTATGTACCTGGGAGTGGAATGGCTAGGTCATATGGTAACTGTTGATATTTTAATTGACTAATTTTTGAAATGTGGTCTCTGTAGCCCAGGCTGGCCTGGAACTGGTCACTGCCTTGCCTCAGTCTGCTGAGTGCTAGGATTACAGGTTCCTTTGGTGTTTGCCACTCTAGTTGGCAATGTGAATTTGGAGGAATGGGACCTAAAAATGAGGTGCACTAAAGTCTCATGAAATAGCCAACTTTAGTCAGAACATAGACAATTTATACCCTGAGGGTTAAGAAAAGTCACCTGGGTAAAGTATCCAACGACTAGGACCACCCTAGGTGGCAATAAACATCTTTTTCCATAGATTCATATGACCAGCACAGCTAAAGTCATCTCACTTCTATCTGCTACACCTGGGAGGAGCATGAAAACATTCTAAAAACAGTTCCGTGTTCTGAAGAAACTGAGGTCACAGACTCATGTCTTGTTTTCTTACAAACTCTCAGAAATTGCTTCACACTGGCCTGTATTCTGACAGCTTGGCACTGCATTCAACTTTGAGGAATTATCAAAACTGTATTGCACATTGGGGATGCCACTTTACATTCCCACAAGGACTCAAGAAAGACATTTGTAATGTAGTTGTGATTTCCAAACTGGTTGCATGTAGTTTTTAAATGCATGTTCTGCCACCTCCATAGAATAAGGACTCACATCTTTCTATTTCTTGGGGTGGTTGTTTTGTGTTTATGTTTTTTTGAGACAGTCTCACTGTGTAGTGCTGGTTGGTCTGGAATTCTAACCTGGCCTTGAACTCAAGGAGATTTGTGTCCCTATGCCTTCTGGAGCACTGGGACTGAAGGTACGAACCTAAATTTGTTGTTTTCAGGCAGGGTCTCATGTATTTTAGGCTAGCCTCCAGCTCCTATATACCTAAGGATGACCTTGAACTTGTAATAGCTAGCCTGCACCTCCCAAATGCTGGGATTATGGGCAGGCACTGGTTAATGTGCTAGGGACTGAACATAGGCTTCCTGCATGCCAAGCAAGCCCTGTACCAGTTGAACTACAGCCCCAGGCTTCCCATCTTACCTCTTAATTGCAGAAGTTTCAGTGTGAACCATTTTCAGCCTTAGAGCTCAGGTGTATTGGCATCAGTTGTAGAATATTTAAGCCATAGATCCCATGAACTGAAGCTGTGCCCACAGAACTGTAGTAGTATAGGCTTTCTGAGCTATGGAGCCAGACTTCTGTATGTATAGTTTGGAACCACAGAGAAGGCAGTGGGGAGAAATTTTTTAATCAGCTTCTCTGGAATTGCCACTAATGTACATGTTCATAATTTAATTGACACATGGTAATTTCTGACCTCCAACTAGCTCATAAATACAACCACTAATAAGCATTCTTACACCAGTAATTTCTATTACAGTATTTTTTGGCTCTTAAAAAAAGACTGAAATTGAAGGTTCAGCGTGTTGCTAAGAGCTATAATCTTGTCTCAGTAATACCATGGGTTTTTGAATTACATCTAAATTAAGCAACTTCATTCTCAAGATACACATCATTTTCTTCCCAAACTAACATTTTCCCTTTTATTTTGGCACTTGTTACTCTTGCTAAATGTGTAGATGGAAATTGATGGAAGACAGATACTTAAACTCAAGTGATCAGTTTAGCTTCTGAATATCAGTTTCTGTCATTTCCTTAGTATAAGTTAGAGATGTCTGGAGTCAGAGGTAAAATATAACTGTAGAGCTTAAACATCTCAAACCCAGCACACACGATGTATACTAAGCAAATAGTGTCTCCAAGCTACATTCTGTTCCTGGTTTCCTCTCCAAGTTGCTGTTGGTCATAGTATTTTATCATAGTAACAGAAAACAAACTAGGACACTTGGTTTATAATAGAAAATTTTGATGTTTTCAACAGATTATACGGTATTTGCTGTCTTAAAGTTACAACATGGTAGTAAAATATTCAAGTTGTTTGAAGACAACAATGTTAAAGGACCTCCCCTCTCTGTTAGTGTCTTTAAATTCCTATATCTGTATTTGCTGGCTTTTGTGCTTACAGGGTGTTAGGGTAATCAAAAACAGCTTGTTTCTACACTCATCTATGGTAAAATGGGGGTATGACATAGCATATGCATGCTTTCTGGTCCTAGGCTGTAGGATTTTTTTCTGCATGGAAACTTGCACTATCCTTATGAGAACCCACCTAATTGTAGTGTCCAAGACAAGACACTAATGGATGGATGTTCACGCACTCAGGGAGCTGACGAAAGAAGCTCGTTCTACTTTGTAAGATTTTGATGCACAATTTTTCTATTTGTTTTGCAGTGGAAGATTGATGATAAGCCTGTAAAAATTGATAAGTGGGATGGATCAGCTGTGAAAAACTCTTTGGATGATTCCGCCAAAAAGGTACATTTTTTGAGGGTGGACAGGGGTGTGTTTGTAGTTCATAGACACATCTTCTTGTAGATCTCAAAGTTAGAAACTGAACCAGAAAAGGGCTTCTAAAATTATCACAGAATAAATAGGAGGTGTGTTTTAACATGAATGTTAGGGTGTCAAGAAAACTGGTAGCTCATTGTTTTGAGATTAGTTAGCTTAGAGCACAGAAACTTGGGGAGGTAGAACATTCATTTATAGAGTTTCTTTGCAAAAAGAAAAGGAAATGTTAGTGTGTCCTATGTGCTATAAAATATTGCGGGGCACACTTGGGAGGCAGAGGCAGGTGGTTCTTTGTGAGTTTGAGACCAGCCTGGTCTACTGATCTAGTTCCAGGATAGCCAGGGCTACACAAAGAAACTTGTTTCCAGGGAAAAAACAAAACAAACAACAAAACAAACCAACTTTGTATCTGGGATCCTTTAAAGACGGTTCGGGCTTCTTTGTTTAGAGGTAAGATACTGGTTGAGAACATTGTTTATTCCTGCCGTTCATAGAATGATTAAGTAGGGATCTATAAAAGCAAGCCACAGCCAGGATGCATCGTTGTTAACTTATATCCTGCTTCTCACTAGGTACTCCTGGAAAAATACAAGTATGTGGAAAACTTTGGTCTAATTGACGGTCGCCTCACCATCTGTACCATCTCCTGCTTCTTTGCCATAGTGGCTTTGATTTGGGATTACATGCACCCCTTTCCAGAGTCCAAGCCAGTTTTGGCTTTGTGCGTTATATCATATCCTTTGTTTTTATGCTCAGGTTTGCTTTTTAATAATTCAAAAATATCTGCTGTTAAATCATCCTTGCTTCCTATAAAAGCTTTGATTTTAGGGCTTGCTGATGTTAGAATTAACATTAAAAGTTGTACCTTTGAATTTATGCTCTATCATTGGTATTCTGTATTTAATAAGGTTATTTTAGCTTTAGTATTCTTAGTTATTAGCTAATAGGAGAACTAAAGCAAAAGTGCATGATGATATTGAGACCCAGCTCTTTTAACTCATGGATTTTTCCTATTAGACTGGGTTGCTTTAAGCCATTTATTCCAGGCTATTATTAGAAAAGCTTTGGATTTTAGAAGTTTGAATTTGTTTCCTTTTTTTTTTTTTTTTTTTTTTTTTTTTTTTTTTGAAGATGAGCTGGCTGGAGAGGTCCTGAGCATGAGGTATAGATTTGGCTGTGTTTCAGTGAGATTGAGGACTCCTTCTGGGCTACACAATACGGGTTTGTAACCTTGTACTAAGAGGAAAATATGTAATCAATACCCATTCAGAATTGTCAGAGTGAGTGGGACACTTGAGTGGTAGCATATACTTATAATTCTGGCTCCCAGGGTGAAGTAGGATGGTCATGAGTTTCACACCAGCTAGGGCTACCTGATAAAACCTTATATCATTGAAAAGTTGGAAAAAGAGATAGTACAGTTGGTAATATATTTGCTATAGAAGCACAAAGACCTAAGCTTGGACCCCGGTTACTCACTTAAAAGCTGGACACAGCAGCACAGGCTTGTAATCCCAGTGCTGAGGAGATGAGGACGGGGATCCCAGGGCAATCTGGCCAACCAGCTCTTGAATCAGTGAGCTTCAGGTTGGTTCAGTGAGAGACCCTGCCTCAAAAAATTAGGTGGAGAGTGACAGAGGAAGACACATAAGAGTTGACACCTGGCTTCCATACACACATGCATGTATCTGTATATCCATACATACAAGTGCACACATATGAATATATATATATGTATGTGTGTGTATATATATATATATATATATGTGTGTGTATATATATATATTCTTATACCACACACAAATGAAAAAGGAAAAAAATCAGATGGGAGATTCTTATATTTGTTACATAGTATAGACAGTTCCCAAATTCAAAGAGGTCAACTTAAGATTTCTCTACTTTATAATGGCCATGAAAAATATCCAAACTCTTGTTCTTTTGCTGCAGCTATTGCCTATGAAACACAAACACAAGACTCAGCGCCCATGTGGACTTTATTGATAGAGGGGACAGAAAGGGGGATAGGTAGTGGTCAGCCGAAAGCAGTGGAGAGAGAGGAGAGAGAGAGAGAAAGAGAGAGCAAGAGCCAGAGCAAGAGAGAAAGAAGGAGCAAGAGAGGCTCTTGGCATGCTTGCTTTAAAAGGGAAAATTGCATATAACTGAGTCCCCTGGCAGCCAGGTAAAGCTTGAGCAGCCAGGTAAGTCATGACATAGAGAAGACATGGCCATGAGCATCCTGCTCATCATCAGGGGGCGGGGTCAGCAGACTGCTGATTCCCAACATTTCTACCTCTTATAGTTCTTAACAAGGTGGGGGTTGGGCATGGCTGGTTAGGGAATAAGGACATTGAGTTCTCAAGACTGCTTCCTGCTGACTTGGGGGCATTGATCGTCTTTGGGGGAATGAGAAAGCTGGAGTGCTGCCACATCCTGGTAGCTGGTTGCCTCATTGCAGTCCTGACAGTATGGAACTCTGGTGTCTTTTTTAGACCTGGCAAGATGCTAGCAGAGCAGAGGACAAGGTTAAGTTTAGAAAAAAAGTTTTTTTTTTCCTTAGGTCCTGGTACTTGAGGGGAGAATTGTAAGATGAGGGAGGGGTTCCTGAGGTGAGGGAAGGGAGTCCTGGGACAGGGAAAGGTTGAATATTTATTTGGAGTGAATCTGACTTGTTTGGGTGGGTCCAATTCGGCTCCCTGGAACTTAAAAGAATCCTTTGAGTTTGTGAAAACATAAATATTAAGACACATTAGCAGCATACTCATGTTAGAAATGATTTGGCTGAAAGAATTAACACATACAACTGACAGATCTTTAGCACAATGTAAAGCACCTTAATTGTGAGCTTATAGTTACAGTTATGATCGTATAGTGGCATAGTATGGTGTTTAGTACTCTTTCAGAATTGGATTAGTAGCTTATTAAAACTTTATTGATTAATGTTAAAAGTATAAACAGTAGCAACCTTAAAATATCCATTTCTGAAATCTGTTTTGTTACAATTGGAACCTTGGCTGCTGCTTTAAGCTGACAAAAGCATCAGATTTTTTGAGAAGGATAAAATTTTACCTGAATGATTAGAGAGTAACAGGGACTTATTAGCTGGCAGCATGCACAGCCACCCCCAGGTCCTCCACAGTTATTGAGGTTAGAGGCCTTAAGGACATCTGCCTTCTGCTGATGACATGAGACCTGTGGATTGGGAGCTTTTGGAAGACTTATCTACCATTGGCCCAAGCAATGTGGAGAAAGTCAATTCCACTGCCCTCTTGTCCATGGTCCTTAGAGCCCTTTGTAGCAGTTGAGATGAAAGGCAGGATTTCTCATTGGCTAGCATTGCCACTTTTGTGGGTGGAGTTTGTTCAGTGTCCACCAGTCTTCTTGGAGGAAATGGGTGGTGCCAGCAGCTGGCTTGTCTCTCTGTTATAAAAGCTTTTTAATGAAACATTTTTAAATGCCATATTCTCTAGATCTCTGAGCATTTGAGGGCTGTCTGACTGTTTAGTATACCTTAGTATACAAAATTTGTCTTTAGTTACTTGCCTTAAACACATAGGTGACTAGGTGAAGGTTTATCCCTGTAATTAATTAATCTGTCTGGAAAACTGGATCCAATCTGAGAGACTGAGGAGGGATGTTTTACTCAGAGCCCTCCAGCCTGACTGGAGGTTAGACTTATACCTGTAAAGGACAAAGAGGTAGAGAAAAACTTCCTTTGATAATAGAAGCTTAACCTTTATAATCAGCTTACAGGAAGGATTAGGTGGCATAAATATTTTATTAGTTTGAAATAGACCTTTATAACCTTAAATGTTTCCATCATTTAAAGACACATAACAATTTAGAAATATTTGAGACTTAGTACAGTTGAATTTAAGTTGTATAGAATTAGCTTACATTTACATATAAAATTAAATTTAAATCACATGTACAGATATATTAAACAGGACTGGGTAAAAATGAGAAGAACCAGAGTATGAAGCTATGTGTAACAAAGTCAGTGAAAAAAGAAATTAGAGACAAAGAATAAAAGGCAAAAGGTAAATGAATTACAGGTTCTGTTGACGGCAGAGGCTGGCTAGACTCCCTCTGCCTAGGTGGCTGGTGTAGCAGAGGGAAGAACCATTGGGGGGGGGGGGTTAAGGCTAGGCCACATGGTCAAGATGGCAGCTGCCATAAACACATTCCCAACAGCTGGCAGCTTGAGCAGATGCTGCCTCAGCCCAGCCCACTGTGAGCCACTCGTATCTGCACAGAGAAAAAACAAAGTAGAAGAGCAGCAGAGAGGACAAACGAGAGTGAGACATTTGAACAGGAGTATAAGATGCCTAGCAAAACAGAACACTTTTAAGTGGAGGGAGGTTCCCGCCCTGAGACAGGCTGCAGCTACCTCGGGCAGGAGAGTTGTATTGTGGTGGGAAGAGAGCAGAAACAAGTTTAGGGAAAGAGATTGTTTAGTAGAGAGGTAGAAAAAACTCCTTCCATCTACCTGTTCGCTGGCAGTAATTTTGGCCAATTTGACTTATTTTCTAGGGGTTATCTAGACGACTTTTCAGTACATTGGTAAATAAGTCTGGGTGCCTTAACAAGTGGCATTAAGTGAAAGGGTTTTAAATTTTCTATTAGGTATCCCAGTGGAGTAGAGGAGGGTATTTCCTTGATTGGCTTATTCCCCATGAGTGAAGTGAGAAATAACCAATCAGTCTTGGAACTCGTCAATTCAAGAGTGTGGCCACATGATAAGCAAGAATGGCAGAGCGTTATTCAGAGCTCATCAGCCCGAAAAACGTTGCCAGGGCCCACAGAAGCCAGAGGACTCAGCAGTCTGAGAGCAGAAAGGCTCAAAGCTGGAATCAGATACACCTCCCAGGGAGGGCAGTATTTCATTCACCCGGCCCTAAGGAAACAAGTTACAATTTAAAAAAAAGAGTACCTTACCTAATTGAAGCCGGTGTGGGATGGTATTTCCAGTGTTGGGTGGATGGAAGTGGACTGCTGGTCTGCCAGCAGACAGCCACCGAGTCCTCGAGGGCCTGATCTGGATCATGGCACCAATGTTGTTCTTTTGATACAATTATTGCCTAAGAATAACTGAATCCCCTGAGCAGCCAGGTAAGTCATGAGGTAGAGAAGACATGGCCATGAGCATTTGCCCATCATCAGGGGGTGGGGTCAGCAGACTGCTCCTTCCCAACACAAACAATAGCCACCAAAATAGCTCATTTGGGAGAGCATTAGACTGAAAAATACCCAAACAAACATCCTATTTTTCATTATCAATATAGTACTCAATAGTTAGATCAGATATTCACACTGTTATTACACAGTAGGTCAATTGACTGGCTGATGTAAGTGTGATAAGTGCACCCAAGGTAGTCTAGGCTAATTAATCTATAGTACTTACAAGTGTGATCTATTAAATGCATATTTAATTCATAGTTAACAAAAATCCTTTTGTAAGTTGAGAATTTTGTCTCTCCTTTTTATGATAAACACATTATTTCTGTGAGTATTTCTAAGATACTCAATGCAAAGAGCTTTTATTATAGTTTTAATTACAGAGTTTACTTTTATTCATAGGATGATTTCTCTGTTGTCCTCCATTCCCATCTCCTGTCCCTTAGTTTTTTTGTATATATAACTTAAACTTTATAACTTAAAAAGTATATAATGGATTTTTTTTTTTTTTTTTTTGTCCATTGAGATGCCACTTCAGGTGAAGGCTTTTGCTGTATCATCAAGGTTGACGATACTAGTTCAGTTTCTAGAACCCAGAGTGAGAGAACTGACCCCTGCAAGTTTTCCTTTCATTTCCACATCTGTGCCTTGACATACTTTTGTGCATACACATTTCCCCAAATAAATAAATAAATGCAAAATTTTAAAAATTATAGATACATATCCACATTAGTATGTAGAACTCTACCACTAACTAAAAAAATTACCTCTTACAGACTACCTTCACAAAGCTGTAGAGATAGTGCAGTCGTTCAGAGGACTTGCTGTACCTGCAGTAGACTAGAGTGTGATTCCAAGAACCCATGTCAGGTGGGTCACAATTATCTGTAACTCCAGCTCCAGAGGTCCTGACACACTCTTCTGGCTTCCGCAGGTACCCACACTCATGTACACATACCCTACATGGACACATACATATACACATAATTTTAAAAATAAAATCAATCCACTTCAGAGGCTGTCAGCAGACCATCTTAATAAAGCACCTGATTAAAATTAATATTATACAAATAGTTCCTGGACTTGGCAACAATTGAGTCTTCAATAATCAGATTAATTATCCTAGTTTGAGATTAATTATTCTAGTTTGAAATTTTCACTATAAAAGCAATCTAAAAGAATACACTATAAGTTCTAGAAACCATTCTCAAGACAATAACAGCAACTTTACTACACAGTCTCCAAAAGGACTACTTTGACAATACTCCAGTTATATTTGTTTAAAGCAAAGCACGATCCTAAGTTCATGTTTTATATATAGTGCTAGTGACTACCACTATAAACAACTACTGTGTGCTACGTGGCTATATATAGAAACCCCATGACAATTCTATTTCTGTTTGTTTGAGACTGGATCTCAGTAGATTAACCTTAAACTCGCAGTTGTCCTGACTCAGCCTTTCAAGTGTGGGAATTATAGGTGTGCACCACCGTGCTTGACAATTCTAAAAGTTCAGTATTCTCCTCATTTAGAGATGAGGATACCACCTTATCCTTCATACCATACTTTCTGCCTTTCTAGCTCATAAAATTTAAATGACACTTCACACACCACTTTAGTAGTTGAATATAAAGTTAACACTGGCAGACATGTAATAATGTATCTGCATGTACATCAGGCATGATTGGTGACTAAATCTGAAGTCACTTTGACATTGGTTGAATATAGTCAAATGGAGGATATAATTTATTTATTTTTATTTTACATATGTGGGTGTTATGCTGTACCACAAGCATATCTGGTGCCCAAGGAAACCAGAAAAGAATGTCAGATCTGGACCTGGGGCTATAGAATGATGTGAGCTGCCATATGGGTGATGGGATTTAAATCCTGGTTCCCTGCAAGAGCAGCCAGTGCTCTGAATTGCTGAACCATCTCTCTAGCCTCTGATGCATTTTGTTTTGTCTTGTTTTGTTTTTCAAGACGAGATTTTTCTGTGTAACAGTCCTGATTGTCCTGGAACTCCCTCTGTAGATCAGAGTAGCCTTGAGCTCACTGAGATCAGCTTCTCTGCCTCCCAAGTGCTGAGATTAAAGGTGTGCACCCCTACCTCCTGGCCTTCTGATGCACTTTGAGATAGAGAAATAAGCACAAGTGATAATGAAGTCTTGAGAAGCTATGAAACAGGACATTCTTAGTCCTGTTGTCCTTCAGTGTAAAAGATGAGAAAGTCTGTTTGTCCAGTACCTTTTGTCTCTTTTTTGAGGTGTCTAGAGAACTAACCAGAGAAAGCCTTGTTTTCTCTGGTACATAAATACAAGGTTTAAAAGGAAATAACTAAATTTTTGGTGCTTTAGTAGTAAGATAAAACTTATTTAAGACTGTCAAGAAAATTTTTGTGGCTCTTATGTGTCATATGTTGTTACTTTTGTTGTGTTTGCATATTTGTATATTTTTCCCTTAACATTATTGAACCTATTTTGTGATGATGGGAATTCTGACCATTTACACCTCATATAAAGAGAAGAGCATCTTTCTTGTGGCCCACAGAAAAGATCCCACAGGAATGGATCCTGATGATATTTGGCAACTGTCCTCCAGCCTCAAAAGGTAATGGCCATCCTGGGTTCTTAGAGATTATTAACACCTGGCATTGGTTTGCCCTGGGATGTTGTCATGATTCTCAGCGTACTCGTCTGTGTTTCTTCTGTGCTGATCATAGTGCTAGTTATGTAAAATGGGGAGATGAATGAGAGTGTAGGCTTCTCCTAGCGCTGGAGACTGAGGAGTGATTGTCTTTTTCCTTGTGGCCAGTTAACAAAGGTCAGAGGTTGGGTGGGAGGAATGGTTCAGTGGTTAAGAGTATTTACTGCTCTTACAGAGGACCTGGGTTCGGTGGCTCACACTAGTTGTCACTTGAGTTCCAGGGGATCCAACATCCTCTTCTGGTCTCTTTGGTCTCCTACATGCATCTTGTACACATACACACATAAAATAAATCTTTTTTAAAGATCAAAGGTGTGAGGTTAATTATCTTTAAGGAGCCTCCATTTATCTCTGTGTCTTCTGTCTTCATTCTGAATGTGTTCAAGAGTCCCTGGAGTGGTGCTCTGTGCCACTCCCCATAGTCCAGTGTTTCTTTCCTCTGGTGGCACACACAGGTGTTCATTAGTGTCTGGAACTGGGACCCTGTTCCAGTGACTTTGTTTCTAATTCATGGCTTTTGGCAAATTATGTAATGAAGTTTAGTGAGGTTAAAAAAAAAAAAAAAATAACTTCATAGAGTTCTTAGGAAGATGAAATGTCAGTTATAATTAATCCACATTCAGCATTTACTGTATTAGGTATTCATTACCTTTCTGTTGCTTTGATAAAACACCATGATCAAGGCAACTTCCAGAAGGAAAGCTTTACTTGGACTTGTGGTACCATCACAACAGGCATGCATGGTGGCTGGAGGACCAAACTGATGGCTCACGGCTCATGTCTTGAGTTACAAGCACAAAGCAGAGAGAGCCATCTAGAAATGGTGCACGTCTTTAAACCCTCAGAGCCCATCCCTAGCCACATAATTTATCCAACAAGACCTCACCTCTTAAACCTCTCCAAATAGTGCCACCAGCTGGGGACCAACTTCAAATATATGTGCCTGTGAGGGCATTCTCATTCAAACCACTGCAGGTATTATGCTAAATCTATTACCTCATTTAAACCTTAGAACACATATTTACAGGTAAGAACATGGGCCTAAAGGTTAAATTGATTGAATTCAGAATGGTAGGGTATGAATCCTAGCTCAAGTTGCACACATATTTCAAGGTTTTAGTCATTAAAAATACATAGTATACTTTCTGTCATATCCAGGCCATCACATCATAATTACTCACACTGAAGGTGAGTAACATCAGCACCAACCCCTTTCTGGCAATTTGTGGAGTAGCTTCTGAGGAAGAGGAACAGATTTTCATTCTGATGTCATAACTGAGTTCTGCTTTCTCCTGGCAGGGCCCCTACCTGTTTTTTTGGCCTCAACTGGAAGAGAAGCCTGTACTTCTCACCATGCTGCTGAAACAGAGTTGCATAATTCTAGAATCCAACAACACTGATTTCATTATTTTCATCCAACTTGTTTTATTTTTGTTGTTGTTGGTGTTGTGTGTATATATGTGTGATTTGCTTAATAGCCTTATTGAGAGAAAATTCACGTACCATCCCATTCACCCACATAAAGTGACCCCTAGTGTATTTATAGTTGTACCTGTTACCACAGTCATAAAAATATTTCCTTCACCTCAGAATAAAACCCTGTGCCTTCTTCAGTGGTTATCTCCTATTTCCACCATTTCTTGTAACCCTTCTGCTCTCCTGTATAAATGTCTCTTTATTGCCATTTCAAGTGAATGGAAGGATAATGTCTTCTTTCACTTAGCATAATGTTTTTCTTTTATTCTATTTTCAGACTTTTAAAATTTTATTTGTTTTTTGAGAATTTCATATAGGTATATATTTTGATCATATTCACTTTTTATCCACTCCCCAACTTCTCCCAGACACCTCTGCATGTCCATTTCTCGATTTCATATTAGTAATCCACTGAGTCCAACTAGTGCTGCCTGCTAGTAGGGTTACCCACTGCAGCATGGACAACCTATGGTGCCACACCCCTGAAAACAACAGACTGTCTCCCCTAGCAAGCATTACAGCCTATTACTCTCAGCTAGCCGTGGGACCTCATGAGCTCTCCATCTATGCTGGAATCTTGACTGGCTTGATCTTGTACAGATCTTGAAGGGGCAGCCACAGCTGCTGTGAGTCCATGAGTACAATGGCCCTGCCATGTCCAGGAGATACTGTTTCACAACATAGCATGTTTTCAGAGTTTATCTCTGTTGTAGCATATTTCAGCACTTCAATCCTTTTTGTGTTTGCATTCCATTGCACAGATATACTTTATTTTGTTAACATATTTCAATTGAAAAGGAATTCTTGGATCATTTGGTTACCTTGTTTGGTGAATTGACTGTTTTCCTAAGTGTATGCATCATTTTAAATCCCACTAGAAGTGTGTAAAAGTATTGACTTTCCACATTCCTTACCAGTTTCTGTCAGCTGCCGTATTATTGGTAGCGAAAGACACATGGGTGCTTCTTGCTGTCATCCTCTCCCTTCACAGTGGGTTAGTAGTATAACAGTGACTGATTCTGCTGTCCTCTGCAGCCACTGGTCATGTACTCTGACATGGCAGTGAAAGTTTCATAGATGGTCAGTTGCCATACTCAGACTTTGCACAGGCTTTAACTCAGGTGTAAAAGTCTTCTTTGAGTTGTTCTTCTGTAGTTCGTATATAGTATAAACTTGTCCAGCAGGTGGGATTTTCTTCTTCGGCCCCCAGTGGCATCTCCATCCTTCTTCATAACCCTCTCAGAATCTAACAGCATTGTGGGATTTGCCATTTATCTTCTTCTCTAGAGAGGCCCAGTGGCTCCCTTTAAACTGAATTTTCTGACTTGATTAGTTTTCTGTTTCCAAGGTAAATTGTTTGCCCTATCTCTGAAGACTTTCCTGCTATATGTTAGTCTAAATTAGGTGTTCCAAGGACATTTTTGCTTGCTAGTGTTGTCCATGGTCACATGGAACTATAATAAAATTTGCTTGTCTGTTGGTAAACTGTAAATCCCACAATACCATTCTCCACAGTGTAAAACTCCTTTTTACAATTCACTGTTCCCAAGCACAGATAGGGACTATGTCATTTATTTCTGTGTCCTCAGACCTCACCTAAAGTCTGAGACAGTATAAGTGTGTCAAAAAATCTTTGTGTTGGAGCTAAAGAGATGGCTTGCTGGTTAAAAGAGCCAGCTGCTCTTTTAATCTCCAGCACCCACATAGTAGCTCATAAGCCAGCTGCAAGGATTCTAGTTGCTTTTATTTGCTCTCCATGGGCACCAGACACACAAGTAATACACAGACATACATGCAGACAGAACACTCATACATAAGAAATAAAAATAAATGAAAAGAATTGTGTGAATGACTGTTAAGTAGCCATGACCTCTTCATTTGCAGCCCAGTTGTTATTGACCATCTACATAATCCTCCATAGCTTCTCCATCTGAACATTTCCGGTTTTCCTCCTGGAGTGCAACCTGCCTGTGATTGGAAGACCCATTTCCTCTGTATACTGAAAGAGTGGTGGCTGATGTTTGTCATGTAGTTCTTGTTACCCTCATGGCGATGTGGAGCTAGATTCCCCCTTCTCCATTTGCTACTTCTTGCTCATCCTCAGTCTCCTCCAGCATACCCACTTTGAATTGTACTTCACATTTGGCCACTTCTGTACTTCATTGCAGAACTCTCTTCCTAGTGATAACTTGGCTTTTGATATACTCTAATATATGTCCTTTTTTGAATCTTGTGATTTATATGTTTGGGTAGATGATTATTGCAGAATTGTGGTCTGTTTTACTCACTGTCTTTCAATGATCTTGTTTTACTGTGTGTTCAGCATGTATTTCTGTGGCCATTATCATTACTACTTTAATAATTTCTATTCTGAGCATCCATCCCACTCTCTGATCATTAGTTGCTACTTTCCTGGCCGTTCTGCCTCAGTTCATGGAGCAAACCACCTCTTTGTTGCCTTTCTTCTTCTTCTTTTTCTTCTTCTTCTTCCTCCTCCTCCTCCTCTTCCTCTTCCTTTCCTCTTCCTTTTCCTCCTCTTCTTCCTCCTCCTCTTCCTCCTCTTTCTCCTCCTCCTTCTCTTCCTCTTCTTCCTCCTCTTCCTCTTCCTCCTCTTCTTCCTCCTCTTCTTCCTCCTCTTCCTCCTTTTCCTCTTCTTCCTCCTCTTCCTCTTCTTTATCCTCTTCCTCTTCTTTCTCCTCTTCCTCCTTTTCCTCTTCCTCCTCTTCCTCTTCTTTCTCCTTTTCCTCTTCTTCCTCCTCCTCTTCCTCCTCCTTCTCTTCCTCCTTTTCCTCTTCTTCCTCCTCTTCCTCTTCTTCCTCCTCCTCTTCCTCCTTTTCCTCTTCTTCCTCCTCTTCCTCTTTCTCCTTTTCCTCTTCTTCCTCCTCCTCCTCTTCCTCTTCTTCCTTCTCCTCTTCCTCCTCCTCTTCCTCATCTTCTTCCTCTTCTTCTTAAATCCCTTTGGAGGATCCTAGCTACTTCTCTGCCTATCTGCAAATCTCCTGTGTATCGCCTCTTGTCTTTGCTGCTGTCTGTGCTGAGAAGGCAGAGGTGGTCAGAGGCTCCCGCCCCTCCATCTGCATGCTCCTTTCTGTCCCTTCCTATCAGGTCACTCCTTCTGACAGAAGAAGCAGGTTGTCATTTCTCCTAGCCTTAAAAATAGTCATCGTCCCTCCCCCCTTATCCCTCATACTTTCTTCTCAGTTGTCTGTCACTGCTGTCTACTTCCTTCTCCATTATCCCTTGGTGCAGCTCTTAGTTTAGCTTGTTAACAGCATCGGACCATTTGGTTAGTTTCCTGCCTGTTTTTTTGTTTGTTTGTTCTGTTTTTTTTCCTAATGAGCTCTTCTAAGTTTCTAATTACATCGATGTCTTTTCCTTCATCTCCTTCCTTCCTTCCTTTCTTTTTTTCCCTTTATCTAAATCGAAAGTGAAATTAGGGCTTATTCCTAGAACTACTTTACACTTGAGAAATCTTTATGTAACTTTTTCAAGATTTTAAATGTTGCCTATATAAAGATCTCTGAATCTACGTTTTTTATCCTAGACCTTTATCTGAACTGTAGCTATATCCTGCTTTCTGTCTGATACTGGATCATAATGGGCATCTCAAAGTTAACATGTCTAAAACTCAACTCCTTTCCCCATTAAACAGCCCACTCTTCCCAGTCCCCCTCCCCATCCCCCCCATGACAGTTTCTTTCCTAACAAGTCCAGATCATTTGGACTCCAGAGTTCCTCTACTCTGTCAGCTCATTTCAGATGAATCTGGTGTGACTATTTGCCAGCTCCACAGTAACCAACTCCTCACATATGGTGGATCCCTGAAGCTTCTCTCCCTGCTTATAGTCATTGCCTACAGAGCAAGTAAAGCAAGTAATCTTGTACAAACATAAATCACATCAACTTAGTCCTGTGTGTGAGATCTATTTAGGAAAAAGACTAAATTCCTAAGGACACCTTAGCAGTCTGTATGTGTGTGGTTTGTGAGTTACATATCCGTGTGCAAACACACATCTCTTTCAACCAGTACTCTTTCATTTTGTTCATCTTGTTCTTTTTCTGTTTAGACATCCTAGGCATGTCCTTGGGGTCATCATACTTTCTAGTCCCTCCACATGGAATACTCTTCTTGGATAGCATGTTCTCATCTTCGTTAGGGTTCAGTAATTATACCTGGGAAGGTATATATCAGCATATCTAGGAAAGCATCAGAATTAGTATCTTATTTGGGAATAATTAGTATAATAATTAGGCAGTTAGGAAGCCTGGGAGTAGGGTCTATCTTTTTGTCTCTCTGGGGTGAGGTTAGGGGATAGCCCCTATATCAGCAGTGCCAAGCTTATCCCCATCTTGCAAAAACACTTGGTGAGGTATGTTGATTTTTAAAGTTAGCATATAAAGTGGTGCATTTGGTGGGGGAGGGGGAATATTTTCATTTGTATGCTCTCATTGGTCCTACTCCCTCATCTCTGCTACCCTTCTGCTGGTTCCCTTCCTCCCCCTTAAATAGCCCTCTCTTCTGTTAGGTATTCATCACTGTCTTCCTCTCCCTAAGATCGCTTCAGTTTTCTAGTCTATTTGGTTTTTGATTTGTTCTCTTTGTCCTGATGCTTAGGTTTGATGACAAATACACCCTGAAGTTGACCTTCATCAGTGGAAGGACAAAGCAGCAGCGGGAAGCTGAGTTCACCAAGTCCATTGCTAAGTTCTTTGATCACAGTGGGACACTGGTCATGGATGCATATGAACCTGAAATCTCCAGGCTCCATGACAGTCTCGCCACAGAAAGAAAAATAAAATAGCCAATTCTAAAATCTCTTTTTCTTCTGGATCGTATGAGTTACTGGTGGGTAGGGAAGAAACAGAAAGCTTAAACTTTGTCAAGTATGAAATGTTAAAAAAAAAAAAAAAAAAAAATGCCATTTAGTCCACTCTGGTTAAATAGAATTTCCTAGATTTTCTAGCACAGATATGCAAAGTTGTATCTTTGACGGCTAGCTGTAGCCTCCATGGTCTGCTGAGTGAGTTTTTGTTGTTGTTGTTTTCCTTAAGAAACATTTTTGTAAAAGCCTAGCATACTTTTACCTTTGTACTTAATAGTACTTTATTTAGTATAGCTTTGTGCCATGCGGCGTTTGAATGCTTAGTTCTTAGGAACTGCTAACCTTGCTGGGCATGGACATGGTGTTCACCTACAGTCCCAGCTCTTGGAAGGCTGAGGAAGGGGGATTGAGTTGAGCCATCCTGGACTGTAGAGCCAGGCCTAGTCTTGGGGAGTGGGTATCATTAACTGTTGCTGACTTTGTGTTACTCCCTGCTTCAGCAGCTGTTTCCTTCAATCCAGGATACAACTTCTTATGTACGACAGCTTTCCTTTACACACCATTTTTGTGGGTGTGTATATAGATATGACTTGGGGAGAATTATTTTTAAAAAAAATACAAAATAGCTTTTTAATTTGTTTAAAATAGACCTGCCTATTACAGTTTGTGCTGTTAACCAATTAAAGAAGCCAGTGGCATTTTTAGTTTTATATTGTTTTCCACTAGTATGTTCCTGTTGATTTGTTTGTGCCCATTATTAACTGCCATTTTCTAAAATTTTTTTCAATAAATGAAAGAAGATGTGAAAATGTGGAGTCCTCGTCTTGAAAGAAGGAACAGCACAGCAAGTGCTTGCCTACCTGTGGTGTCCCTTCTAGGCTGCTCTGTCCCGGCCCTGGAGGCCTCTGAGCTCTAGTGATAGCAGACACACTCAGCGCTGGCTTTGTGCTCTGGGAACTTACTACACATTGGCTCAGTGGTGTGCGCAGCAGTCCAAGTGGCAGATACTGTTATCCTCACTTTACCTGTGAGGATGCTGAGACACAGAGTTAAAAATTGCCACACAGATGGCTTTTAAGTATTTTCCAAACCTGGTCAGAGACCTGGGCACTTTCAGGAATATAATTCTAACTAAGTCTAGTACCCAAAACTATATTCACTTTATAAGAAAGCACCTAGAGAGTACTGGGAATGTTGTCCTGTCTAGCACTACCCAGTGGAGAGTGTGAGACAAGACTGGGCAGATGTTGAAGCCTTTCCTGTAAGCCTTCAGTAAATCCAGGTTCCTTGAGCTTCTAACCTGCCCCTTCCTCACTCCCTCTTGTAAAAGTAATAATGCAGGGCTGAGAAGGTGGCTCATTTAATACAGTGCTTGCCATGTAAGCATAAGAGCCTGAGTTTGGCCCCCAGAGTACCTGGGATTACATTTGTAATCCCAGTAAACATTCAAATAAACCCAAGTAGACACTGGACTGCAGTGATCTATTACAGTTTTCCCCTTGACTCAAGCCAGTTCAAGCAGTTGAGATGTATTGAAGAAGCAGTTACCAGCCCAGCCAATCTGTGCTCTGCTGCTACCTTCATTGTAGATAGTTGTCAATCACACAAACTAGAAATGCTCTTCAGGCTCTAGCTTCACGAGTAGCACTTTGTGAGACACAGCACCTCCTGAGAGTTGGCTGTTGCCACACTCGAGTATGGAATGGTTGTTCATAGCAGCCTATTGGGATGCTGCTGGGCAGCTTCTGACCCTCTGGATCTGCAGAGCCCTTTCCTTCTGGAAACCTGGGAACCTATCACATCCTCCTCTTTTTCAGCTTTTCACCTGCCTCGGTGGACTTCAATCTCTTCAAGAAGAAAGAACCACTAGAGAGGGGAAAGGTCATTGTTTTCAAATTTCTGCTGTTAATACTTATTTAATATTTGTAATACTTTATATCTATCTCAGAGACAACGCCTTTTGCTTTTGAACTTCAAGGAATGGAAGGAGATTTGAGATCTCTGATTTACTCAGCCTTCGAAGAGCTCTTTCACTAACTGCTTTTGTCTCTACTCTTAGTAACTGGACTGTGCCCAAGCCTTGTCTCCACAGTGGAGACCACAGGGCAAGCCACTAGCCTTACTGTCACACTGACTTTTTAATAGAGTATACCTGCCCTTGCTGACCACATTCTCTGTTATTAAATAGAATAGTCATTATAAAGCTGGATGTGGTGGTGCATGTCTGAAATTCCAGCACAATGGAGACAGGGGTCCTAAAATGGCTATGGTTGAGATCAGCCGAGTCCACCTAGAATGTTACAGGTCAGCCAGGGATACGTGGTGAGACTGTCTCAAATAAAATCCCTGGACCTGATACCCTGGTGTTGTCTGTCGCGGAATATTTTGAGTTTCTCTAATTGCCTGGTAGTGAGGTATTAGGTGGTTTTTGAGTCTGAGTATTGAAAAGTAAGTTTAAATATAGCTGCTCACAAGGCGAAGGTCTTGGAGAAACAAGAACAAACCAAATCCCAAAGGAAATGGAAGGAAATAAGAACAGGCTAGAGAACAAGATAGGAATTAAAAAAAAAAAAAATCAGAATATAGTTGACAGCAACATAGATAGCAATGAAATTGTGAAAATCATTAGAATATGCCTTAAAAGCTTATATGACCTATGTAGACATGGATGACATGAGCCATTTAAAGAAATCTATAACAAACAATTGAGATTGAAGCAGTAACAAAATATCTCCCAACTAAAAAAGCCCAGTTCCCCAGTGAGTTCACTACTGAAAATTTGCAGATGTTTAAAGAAAATGTAAACCAATGCTTCACATACTGGTCCATGAAATAGAAAAGGAATACATGCATTCAAACTCCTTTTTGAAACCAGTATTATTAATGATGACCCAGTTAAAGACACAACAAAAATTGTAAGCCAGTCTCCCTGATGAATATATATGCAAAAATAAATTAAAAAAAAAAATCCTTGTAAAACAAATTCAAGAATACATCTAAAGGTCATTTACTGCTTCAAATTGGTTTCAATCCAGAGTTGCAGGGATGGTTCAGTATGTGAACCAGGAGAAGAATCTAAGGACAGAAATAACAGCATCATCTCAGGAGGTGAACAAAAGGCTTTTAGTAAAATGTTTTTTGGAAACAGGGTTTCTCCATGTAGCCATGGTTATTCTGGAACTCATTCTTTAGACCAGCCTGGCCATGAACTGTCCTGAGTGCTGGGATTAAAGGCGTGCGCCACCACCACCTGGTGAAATCCAGCATTCTTCATGATGAAATCCCAAAGAGACTAGGAGAAACATGTATCTAAATATAATAAAGGCTATATATAACAAACTATATTCACTATTACACCAAGTGGAAAACTGCATTTCCACTAAAATCAGCAACAAAGCCAGTATGGTTTCTTTCTCTACACTATGGGATATACTGCTTGAAATCTTAGCTAGAGCAAGATAAACAAGAGGGATACAAATAGAAAGGGAAGAAGTAGATGATAAGATTTCATATATAGAAGAACCAAAGGCTACCAGAAAATAATTCTGATAAATACATTCAGCAAAGTGGCAGGATGCAAAATTACCATATAAAAATCTTACAAATCATTAAGTGTACAACAAAACATGCTGAGAAAGAAATCAGGAAAACAATCCTATTTACTGCCCCCAAACACACACACACACAGCCCTTAGACCCCCAAACACACACACACACACACACACACACACACACACAGCCCTTAGAATAAACCTAACCAAAGAAGTGAAAGACCTTTACAATGAAGATGACAAAACACTGAAGAAATTGAAGACTACCTATCCTTGCAGATCATAACAACGAATGTTGTGAAATGGTTATATTAACAAGAAGTCTAAAGATTCAGTGCAATCCCCATCAAAATTCAATGTCATTTTCACAGGGGAAAAAAAAATCCTAAAATCCAAGCAGAAACAGAACACCTTGGATAATTAAAACAGTGCTGAGCAAAAAGGAAAAAGACTGATTTCAAGTTACACTTTAAAGCTATAGAAACAAAAACAGCACAATACTGGGGCACACACACACACACACACACACACACACACACAGAGAGATGTTAACTCTTGCAATTACAGCTACCTTATAAGAAAAATGTCAAAAATACATGTTGGAGGAAAAGTGTGTTTTCAACAAAGGTTGCTGGGAACACTACCTGTCCACATGTAGAGGAATGAAACGGTGCTATCTCCAGCCTTGTACAAAACCAACTCTAGGTGAACCAAAGACCTTAATGTAAGATCTAGAACTGGAGCATAGAGAGAAGGTAGAGAAACCACCTGACACAGTCACAGGAAAGGACCTTCTGAATAGAACCCAATCAGGCAGTGATACCATCTATTGACAAAAAAGAAACGATGAAACTAATTTAAAAGCAATACCGTAGAGGCAATAGTTATGTGAAGAGACAGCCTGAAAAGTGGAAGAGAATCTTTGCTAGCTTTATTTCTAACAGGATTAATATCTATAAAGAACAAAAAAATTAATGTTCTAGTTTCCTTATTGTTGCTGTGAAAAAGAAAAACAAAAAGCAAAACATTCTGACCAAAGGCAACTTAAGGGAGAAAAGTCTATACCCTCATAGGATGTAGTACATCATAGGGAAATTTGGGCAGGGACTTGACCTCTTGGGGGAGTGCTGCTTGCTAGGTGGCTCATAGGCTTATGCTTAGCTAGCTTCCGTATGTAGCCCAGAACTGACTGTATAGTGATAGTACTGCCACAGTGGACAGAGTCCTCCACAGACAGCCCAGGCTAATTTGATCTAGGTGTTTCCTCAGTTGAAGTTTTCTTTAGATGACTCTAAGCTGACAAAGCTAACTACAAGAAATCAACCAAGCAACCAATCAATAAAGGAATAATGAGTAGTTCTCAGAAGATAAAATACAAAATGGCTAATAGACATGAAAACATGTTCATTCTCACTAGACATCAGAGACACTGAAATTGAAAAGTACCTTGCAGTTCCATCTGACCCCAGCAGAACAAGCAGCCACTTAAAAACAAAACAAAATAAAACAAACAAACAAAAGATGGGCTTCAGAGAGGGCTCAGTGACCTCTCCAGAGGACCCAAGTTTGTTTCTCAGCACTCATATGGGCAACTTAGAACTTCCTGTAACCCCAGCTCCAGGACATCTGATGCTTTCTGGTGTCTTTGGGAACAGACATTCATGGCATACATATACACACATATACTTCAATTCTTTTAAAGAACAATTTTTTTAAAAAAATGTGTTGGTGAGGATGGGGACAAAGGCAACTATTATATACTGCTAGTGAGAAACTGGTCCAGCCATATTGAAGTCATTGTGGAGGTTCCTCAAACTAAAAGATGTATTATACGACCTAGTTCTGCCACCTCTAGATATTTACTCAAGGAACTCCTACTTAACACATCAGAGACATACAGTATTAATGGTAGCTTAGTTATAGAACCAACCCAAATGCCCAAGGGATGTGTTATATACACCCAATTTTTTCCAGCTACACAGAAGAACAAAATTATGTGGTTTGCAGAAAGATGATGCAACTGGAGATAATCACATTAAGTCAGATGTGGGAATGTTTTCTCTCCTTTATGGATGAACTCTTGGATGTGTTTATGACATGAAGTTAGAAGTGAAACTCTGGAGGAACAAAGAGGACTAATGGAAGTTTTTGTATGGTACATACTTGCATGAAAATATCATGTAACACAATTGAGTGTATAATGAATACACACGATGAAGAAATATATAATACATAGAAAAAAGTAGAGTCCACTCGTGAGAAACTCAAACACCATTCCAGTATTTCGTGTTAGGTTCTGACCATGAAGCAGGCTGTGGGCAGAGTTTGGCAAAGTATTTGGCTTCATTGCTTTAAGGAAGGGAAGCAGCCAGGCAAAAGTTTCAGAAGGAGTTTGGATATGGTGTAAGCCTGCTCAGGTAACTGCTCCAGACCTCTGACTTTCTTTGGATATAGTTGACTTAGAATGACCGGATCTTTATACCCCCTGTCAGTTACTTACTTGATGTTGGATGTGGGACAATCTGGGAAAAGGTCTTGGCTTCAAGAGAGGAGCTTTCTTCAGCTGAGGAAAACCCTGAACCATCTGATGTGCTGACTGAACTGTAACAGCAGTTCCTGCAGCTGTGGCCATAGGAGCCCTTTCTTGAAGAAGGGCCTGAAAAGCGTGTCCCAGCATCTATCACAGAAAACAGTTGGCTCACCCATTGGTTGAGTTCTCAACTGATAATGAAAAGCCTTGGAAATGGCTCTGAATTATTTTAGTATTTTAGAATTAAAATTATATTTTCTATAACATCTTGCTATGATAAATGGAAACCCTTTGCCAACTTTTAAAGGGAAGACTGGTAATTTTTAATATCTTCCTCCAATGTATTTATTAACTAGAATTCTACCCTCAGGAAGAACTGTTTCCTTCACCTAGCTTAATTTGTACAACTATTCATATCAGTATGGACTTGATTTTATTTTATTCTAGGAATTATTATCTCACTACCAATATCATCTAACCATGTGGATTCCAGCTTTGGCCATTAGAGAGCCCCTGAGAGGGAAGTCCCTGTCATTCTGTGACCTTTCCATACTTTATGCATCTCAAGATATTCTACACTCAGCTTGTGTTTCCTCAGCAACACCCCTAGGATCGACTGTTTTACAAGGAGCCTGGTCCTGACCTAGGTCCTTTCAACCACTGGGTCATCCCTTGAGCACCATGACAGTAGAATTTAAAACATGTGGCCTACTCCTTTGTAAGTTGTTATTTTTTTCCCTTTGACACAGGGTCTCAATATTTAGCCCTAAGTACCCTGGAACTCATATTTAAACCAAGCTGCTTTAGAACATGTGGAGATCCCCTTACCTATTCAGCAGTGCTGGGGCAGGTGTGCACCACCACAGCTGACTGTTATTATTCCCCATCTTTGGTAGTAGGGAACCTTGTTAAGTCTTCTGCTGCGACCCAGCCCTGTGTTGGTAAGACTAGACATGATAGGCCTATGCTTATGCTGTACTTCTTCCCCCCAGCTCTGAAATCAGCCGTTTTACTGTGGAGGAAATGGTTTTATTTTAGCACAGTGTGGTCAGGTTAGTCTCTCGTTATAGTTTTCCTTTAAAAAGTAAAGAAAAACCACATCATGTTTTGTGTTCTCAAGAAAGCCCATCCTCCAGAATTCTTAATTCATAGACCTCCTCCAATTTCATACTTACTGCTTTTCCCCTGCCTCATGGATTCAGAGTCAATCAGTATAAGTTAATTTTTTCATCCTCCAAGTAAGTATTCCACCTTTTGTTTCTTTTGCCAAATTCCTTTGTTTTACTTGGTTCCACCGAAAATGACTTTAAATTGTTTCTCACCATGTGACTTCTAATCAGAAGAATCAAACAGGTTTGTGTCAAAGAAATGAGCCCTTGTATTCTTATGCTGGAGCAAGAGGGGGCAGGCACTTGAGAGAGAATCCTAATATAACTGAAATGAAATAATACCAAACCCAACACCTAATGCCACTACGCTAAATAAATGTCCTAGTTCATATGTTTATAAGTAACCTCTGTATGGATTTTGAGGTCAGTGTATTTCACATCTTATTTTTATTTGTTTTGTGTTCATTTTCCTTTAGGACTCTGATTTCTGGTGACCTTGTTGACCAGACTGGGTCATTTGTAGCTTTCTTTGTCCCCATCACTGGCTGACCCTCTTAGATGTTGCACTGTCTCAAGAGGGGCCTTTTCCTCTTTTGACTTCTGGAGGTGGGGGAGAGTGGGGTGGTCCTTGCACATGACTGTGAAACAGGAGAATGGATCCAGTACTCAGTGACAGATACATGTATGATAATGCGTGAGACAATACACAATAAATTGTCTACAGTACTGAAGAGTGAACCTGCTAGGCAAGTGCTCTACCACTCAGCTGGTTTCTCAGCTCTTTTTTTAATCTTGTGATAGGAGCTTTTTGATAAATTGTCCGGGGTGGCCTTAAACTCCAGACAGCTGAAAGTTCCAGTTCTCCAGCTTTAGTTTCCATCAGACTAGCTGAGTTCAAAGCCCTGTGCCACCAGGCCCTGATAAATATATAGGTTTGGGTACTTTTTGCAAGGGGAGTGCCCAGTGCTTTGTGTGGATACATCCCTCCACCTCCATCTTTTTTTGTAGTCCCCTCTGAGGCCCGGAACCTTTGCTCGACAATTAGGCTGTCCGGGGAAGTTTTAGGAGGTGATACCTTCCACAGACCAACCGACAGATAAGAGCATTCACAAGAAAGCAGGGCGGGCACTGCGAGGTGAGGGGCGTGGCCCGGCCAGGGAGAGTGACACCGGCTGCTGCCTGCCCAAGTCCCGGGGCGCCAGCCCCCCTGCGCTTCGCGCCACTTCAGCACTGCGCGGTCTCGGTTTCTTTCCTGCCAGCACCTTCTCTGAGGTCTCGGGGTCTGTCTCCGCGTTCGCGGTTTCCGTCTCCGCTTCCCTGTCTTCATTGCCCCAGCCCTGTTGCGGGCCCTCCTCCGAGACCCCAGGGAGAGCCCGGAGAGACGCTGGAGCCGGTGAGCTGGGTGGGGGTCACCCCGAATGCGGCCCGGGACTTGGGAATCTGTGTCAGGAAGGAATACTGAGTCCGACTGTGAGCTAGGACCTCACTGGCGGAAAGTGTTCTGGGCCGTTCTGTATTTGATTTCTTCAATATGAAGCCAAACTTAAGTAGTTTTTAAGAGTGGAAACGAAGCAGGAACCGAGCCTAGGAAAAGCCTTCTTAATACAGAGTAAGTTGTGGGCGGCCATAAAGGTCCCGAGGTGGGAGCTGAGACTAGGCGGCCTCACCTAAATTTCCCTCCTCAAACAATGCTGCTGAAGTCGTGCTACACTGTACTGTCTCTCTCCCTGAGAAAGAGAGCAGAGAGGACTTTGTTGGGAGGGCAGAGTATGGAACAGCAATTAATACTTAGAATTCTCTGCTAAAGCAAACAATTCCAAAGCAGACAGACCTGTGCATGGTTCTTCTCCGTCCCCAATTCTCAGCACATAGATTGGGTGAATCATTTAGGTGTCAGTGTCAGGCAGTGTTACCGCTGTCATTAATATTATTAGCATACTCATAATTAATGAAAATGAATGACTATTTAATTGTTGAGGTGGTGGCAGAACCAAAAGTCAATTGTGAAAAGGAAAGCATCCATAATAATTAGAGACATCTATTTGTAGAGTGCCTTAAAGTTTATAAAGCACCCTTGCATGGTCCTTGTAAGTACACAGTATTCACCTTTAACAAATGAGAGCCAGCCATGGCTAGGGCATGAGAATCACAAGTTCAAGACCAGCCCAAATACTAAAAGGAGGAGTTGTAATTGATAGTCTAATGCAAACGCTTAAGGATGTGGCTTTGTACTGGGAAAGCCACCATTTGTGTGATTTTCTTGTGAGAACACCATTAGTGTATATGCACATCATTTCGGTACAGGCCACAGAATGGCTAGGTTATATGAAATATGCTGCCAGCTGACATAACATGCTTTTCCACAGTTAGCAATTAGCTGTGTACTCCAAGATAATGACAGAAAGTATAGTACAATGAATGTTCAAGGCAGCGATGTAGCTTATTGTCATTTCAAGTTTTATGAACTGTACACAACTGTGTTATATTTTTGCCTGGCTGGCATCACCACAAACATGTGAGTAATATGTCAGGGCTGTGACACTGATGACTAAGATGTCTCTGGGCAATGGGAATTTTTCAACACTATTATAATTTTGTGGGACCTGTAAGGTGAAAAGGGCCAAGGAAAAACAACCTGCACCTGACTAGACCTGAGACCTCACCCTGACTTGACCCCAGGACCAGGGTTTGAAATCCCACTAATCCCTGAGCTTGCCTCAGAGTCAGGCCAGGCTGCAGAATCCCACCAATCCCTAGCTACCCAACCCCCAAGAAACCCTATATAAGCTCTATGTCCTGTTCAGTTTGCTGCTGTTTCTGACCACAGGCAGCCACCCTCCTGGATTCTTCGTTTCCAATAAACCTCGAGTGAGGTTTGTTGTGTGGTGTGAGATGCTCTTTCCCTTATCCAAGAAGAGTTATTACACTCTAGGGGACCTAAGCAGAGCTCTAACACTTCTCCAGAGCAGAGGGGAGCAGAGCTGTGACAAGTTGGTTGGGGAAGCCCTCCTTTGCTGGAGCAGAGTTGTCATACTTGCATTGGGAAAGCCTTTCCCTGAAGCAGGGCTGTAAACTTCTGTGCTTACAGTGACTTTGTGGTATTCCTTGGCTCTGATTGCCTGGATGCCTTTCCATCGGAGCTGCATTGCTTACAGGACCCCTTCACATATACAGTCTATTTATTATTACATGTTTTGTAGTGCATATAGTACAGTCATATATTAGTTTCAGGATTCAGGAATAATACACCCTGTTTGGCATGGTGACACAGACCTGTGTTGGACCCTAATTCCGGGGTCCTGATGGGCCAGTGGGAGAGCCCCGTGACACAAACACCAAAACCAGGAGATGCAACAAGCAAGAGGTGTTTATTGAACGAGTGCACTCGGGTGAAAGCAATCTCGGGGAAAGCTGCACACCCCCCCCCAAAGGGTTCAGGCTCCTTTTTATAGAGAAAGGCCGCAATCAGCATACATGAATGGGGCACAAGGAGATTGATTACAAAGTATGATCTCATGTTTGAGAGATCACCCAGGTATGACCTGTTCTTATTCAAAGGATAAATCATAGAATGACTTGGAAAGTCTCCAGACTGTCCATTGGCCAGGAGTGACACAGACAGGGCTGTTCATCTGGAATCATTTGTTCCAGGGTTGGGGGCCTATTTTCTTGTTTTGGGCCAAGACCTGTGAGAAACTTTTTTCACACTCTGGCTTTCTCTTGGCTGTACATTTAGAGCCTTCAGTTATTCCACAAAGGTTTGATGATTCAGTACCTAGCCCTATTTCACAAGATCAGTCTAGCATGACCACTAGCACCATCAATACAGTAACCTTTCTTGTTCTCATAATTTCTGTCCTTTCCTCCCATGTCAATGTCCATTCTTTATAATTTTCTATATTCCGTTTGCCCCTTTCCCACATCCTTGCTCTGCAAACTAAAAATCTTTCACCTGGAATCCTGACACTCAGGAGACTGAGGCTCGAGGATAACAGGTTCAAGGCCATTGTTTTGTTTTGTTGTTTTTTTGTTGTGTTTTTAATGTAATGATTTATATTGACTGCCATGTATCTGTGCTCCTATTCATGCAATAGGCCTTATAATGGTTATTTAAGGCTCTTTCATCTTTTTTTTTTTTTTTTGAGACAGTATTTCTCTGTGTAGCTTAGAAGCTTGTCCTGGAACTCGCTCTGTAGACCAAGCTGGCCTCAGACTCACAGAGATCTAACTGCCTCTGCCTCCTGAGTGCTGGGATTAAAAGCGAGTGCCACCACATCCCAGTTCTTCCATTCTTTTTATATAGAATTTAATTCATTTTACAGATAAGGATCCCAAAACAATAGAGAAGTGAAATATATGCCCAAGAATCTGTAGTGGTCTAAGCCAAATCTTTTGTTAAGTGTTGCCAGCACTGTGACTCAGGAGAGAAATGGACTTGGAGTAAAGCCCAATGGTGCATGGAAGGAGAGAGCCTGAACAGGGAACACAGGTGTGCTCTAACGACATGCAGCAAGACAGTCCACACAGCCTTTTGCTTACTGGATGGAAGGGCAGCGTTTCTTCTGACTCTGAGACCACTTCCCCCTCTCTTCTCACAATAGTGAGCCTCACAGTTCTCCCAAGTTAGTGACTGAGTCATGCATATGTGTTGGGAGTTTCTCTTGTTCCGCTTGAAGGTCGTAGATGGACTGACAAAGTGCAACATTACCCACATCTCATTACCCAGAATGCTGCCTGAGACTGGTCTAAACTCGTGATGCCATTTCTATCAGACACCCCAATAAGGTGATAAAACCTGTCAGATTTGGCTCTGCTGGGCCCTTTATTCCTGTCTTTGCTCATAGGTTTTGCATTCCAGCTCATCACAGTCACACTATCCTACCGAAAGCTGTTTCCTGTTACCTATAGGCTTTGCAACCACCGGTGCTGCTTCTTACCCCATCACTTGGCTAACCCAGTCTATACTCTTTATATTCCGGTTCATTTATTCATGCATTTATTTATCCAGCAAAACTTGTCTGGTGCTGATCACAAAACAGGCTTGGCTCTAGGTGAGAAGATATAGCCCTATGTGTAAACCACTGAGATGATCACTTCATGGTTAGGGGGAAGGATTTTTATTGTAGATAAGAGGTAGAATAGCCAGAAGCTTCTGGGGGGAAAATCTAGCCATGGTGGCTGCCTCTTGGGGACAGAGAGGTGAGCAAAGAGAAAAGGCAGGGAGAGAAGGAGACTGGCATTTTCCAGGGCTGTGGGAGCAGGTGGAAAGTCCTGCCAGTTATAAGCAGTTGCATTGTGGTGAGAGGAGGGCAGGTTAGTTGGAACAGCCTGGGAACTACTATGGGGCCTCTGATCCGCTGGAGGCTCCTTTGAGGCTGTGGGGACTTTACAAGGTTTCTGAGGAATGCCAAGGGTTTCCCTGCTCAAAGTCCAGCCTGAACTGAGTGCAGACTACCATTTTGGGGAGCTGGCACCTGACACAATGGCGCTTTTACTTTGTAGCATGTATTGTATATGTCTAATACAGTGCTAAGTCCTGTGGAGAAACAATCAGGGAACAGGGCCCTGGGGCAGCAAGGGCCCTGTCAGGTAACAGCTCATCCATTGGATGAAATCTGAACACAGCTGAAGCAGCAGGAGGTGAGGAGTGGATGATGTTTGGACAGAGCTGAAGGAGGTAAGGTAGGGCTTGTGTGGCTGTCTGAGGAAGACTGTTCCAGGAAGAACAGGTAGCTAGCTTGGCCAGTTATCATCTTCTCAAAAAGTCCCTTTTGGGGGCATTGATCTGCACAGGTGAGCCCTTTCTGTTTCCCTGCTTGCTCTTGTGTTTATTTCTAAGATAGCATGTAGCTCTCTGTGTTTATCTCTGTGTACATATTGGCTTCTCTCCTTCAGTTGCTCTCAGCTTGAAAACGGGTGGCTCCTCAATACTGATGTAAGGGCCTGATGTATGTAGGCACTGAGAAATGTTTGCTGAATAAACAAAGAGGGACTCATTGGCCTAGCTCTTATGGGCTGCTATTTATTTATTATTTATATAAATTATTTGTAAGACGGGCCTTGGGTGGCAGATAATTTGAAAGAAAATTAAATCCTAAGCCTATTTTTGTCTGTTCGGCCTGTGTCCCTTCTGTGGCCTCTGAGAAGTGGGACTTCTGGCACTTTCAAAGAGTTTCTAAAGGCTTCCAATGTCAGTGTTATCACAAACCTGCTAGCCTGGCAAATGGCAGCTAGAATACCACAAAGACCCATTTGGCTGAATTTGCAAGAATGTAATCTCCAGGAGCCTGGAAATAACAGCAAACCCAAAGCCACAGTAGCAAACCCCTTGAGCTTTTAATACACTTGTCACAGCTGCCAAAGCTGCAGGTTCCTCCTGGGCTAGAGCTCATACCACCAAGACACACCCCTTGAGAGTCTACACCCTCTGTTGTGTGTACCCTTCTTAGGGTGATCTAGGGGTGAAACCTTACTGACAGATGAGTCAGAAGATTGCCCTTTCTCCTGGCCTTCAGGAGAGGGACAGAGCTTGCCTTGAGAATTGTTAATCACAATGTTACTCAACTGGGTTTGGTTTATAGTATCTGAATAACCCAGGAACACTAAGCCAAGAAATGAACATGTCTGGAGAGGAGATTTGTTGAATGAGGGTGCATATTATTTGCTTTGGGCTGCTGAGGCCCTGATGTACTCTTTACATGGCAAAGTGGACATTTAAGAACATGCACAGCTCTCGTGTGCCCTCAGCAATGAAGTTGTATGCAGACACCCACTGAACTGTTTGCTGTCCTTGCAGAAGTCATGGAAGAAGTGTCATCCTGCTCCCTCAGCAGCACTCTGTTCCAGCAGGAAGACCAGAAAGGGATCACCTACCGGATCCCAGCGCTGCTCTACATTCCTCCCAGCCACACCTTCCTGGCCTTTGCAGAGAAGCGCTCCACAAGCAAAGACGTAGATGCTCTCTATCTGGTGCTCAGGCGAGGAGTGATGAAGGGCCACTTTGTACAGGTGACTCATCCTAGTCTTCGTCTCTCCTCAGAGCTGAATGCACTTCCAGGTCTGTCTCCCCACCCCTACCCCCTTTCCCAGCAAAACTCTGTGTGGTGAGCTCAGGGGAAAAGAATAAAACTGAATTTTACTGAGTCATTTTGTGCCAGGGATCCATTGGATTTTCACAGCCATCCTGTATCCTAGGCACTGTTGTCAGTCATGTTTAGCACATGGGGGGAACTGGGCTCAAAGAGCCTGTCATTTGCTGTAAGTCATGCATCTATAATCTAGCAGCAGAAACATACTTCAAACTCAAGCTCGAGCTCCCGAGGCCTCTGTGGTGCATTCAGACCCTATATGGCCTGTGTTTTGTTTCTGTGCCCTGCTAGGCGTTCACCCAGGGAAGGGAACACCTTGAGTTCAGCTTTCCTGAACACTTCATCTCTGCTTCTCACTGCCTGAGCTTCATACTCAGAGTGGGTGCTCTGCTCTGTCACAGTGCAGAGGTGACTCTGCTGAGCCCCATCCTTGCTTTGGACGACACTGGTTTCCTTCTGAGGAGTTTGTACTTTGAGGACTCTCCAGCCCCTGTTTTTTATTGTATGTCATTAGATCTTCTCTGTAGCTTGCCAGGTCAGACTCTACAGAGGCCCAGCCCTGTGGCTGACAGAGCCCCAGAGTTCTAGGACAGGCAGAGACCCAACTCAGGTCATCAGGCTTGGTGCCAAGCATTTTCACTATGAGTGGTCTCACGGACCCCTTTCTTCCTTCCTTCCTTCCTTCCTTCCTTCCTTTCTTTTTATTTATTTAGTTTTTTTTATATAAAATGTCATTGGCTGCTGTCATGTGTGGCAGACAGTGGAGATACAAATGCATATAATTTGGGTATTGTCCAAAAGGCACATAGTATAAAAGGGGAGACAGCTACTAAAAATATGCATAGTGTCATACAAGCTGCTATACCTTGTTAGATGAGTGGTTCCAAGGAAGGCTTCCCAAAGGAGGTGACATTGGAGTTGGGTCCTGAAGGTTGATTTGGATGTCCAGATGAAGCAATGAAGAACATTCTTGAGAAAGTACATCTTTTTACAATATCTAGCATTATCTTTCCTTCAGATTTAAAGCCACCTTGTAATAGTTGAAAATGTTGTGATTATTTGAGCCTTCAAGATTCTGTCCACTTCAGTGTCATATATTGTCTGTAAAAAGAGCTGATGCTTTTAATGAGCCTTGTGTCTTCCTACTAACAACCCATGATCTCTTTCTCTTCCCCTTGACTAGTGGGGACCCCTGCAGCCACTGATGGAAGCCACATTGCCTGGGCATCGGACCATGAACCCCTGCCCTGTGTGGGAGCAGAGTACTGGCCATGTATTCCTGTTTTTCATCTGTGTGCGGAACCATGTTACTGAGCATCGACAGATTATGTCAGGCAAGAATGCCGCCCGTCTCTGCTTCCTGTGCAGTCAGGACGCTGGGTGCTCGTGGGGTGAAGTGAAGGACTTGACCGAGGAGGTCATTGGCTCAGAGGTGAAGCACTGGGCCACGTTTGCTGTGGGCCCAGGCCATGGCATCCAGCTGCAGTCAGGGAGGCTGATCATTCCCGCCTATGCCTACTACTTCTCACGCTGGTTCCTCTGCTTCCCGTGTTCAGTCAAGCCCCATTCCCTGATGATTTACAGTGATGACTTAGGAGTCACATGGCACCATGGCAAGCTCATTGGGCCCCAGGTGACAGGGGAGTGCCAAGTGGCAGAAGTGACCGGGAAGGCTGGTAACCTTGTGCTGTACTGCAATGCCCGGACACCAAACAGATTCCGAGCAGAGTCTTACAGCACTGATTACGGTGACTGCTTTCAGAAACCAATCCTGAACACACAACTCTGTGAGCCCCGTTATGGCTGCCAAGGCAGTATAGTGAGCTTCCAGCCCCTGAAGATGCCATTCTCACATGACCCAAGTGGTAAAGCTGCTCCCACTACTCAGAAAAGCCCTCTGCTGGACAGTTTTCTGGAGCGGGAGGAAGGAGATGGAACACCATCAGAAACATGGCTCTTGTACTCACATCCAACTAGCAAGAAGCAGAGAGTTAACCTGGGAATCTACTACAACCACAACCCCTTGAAGGTGACCTGCTGGTCCCGCCCCTGGATCTTGCACTGTGGGCCCTGTGGCTACTCTGATCTGGCTGTTGTGGAAGAGCAGGGCTTATTTGCATGTTTGTTTGAGTGTGGGCAGAAGCATGAGTGTGAACAGATTGCCTTCCGTCTGTTTTCAGACCAAGAGGTTCTGAGCCAAATCAAGACTGATGGGTGAGGACCCAACTTTCCACAGAAGGGAAACACGGGTCACTGATGTCTACAGAAAATCCAAAAACTAATACTTTGCTCCTTGCATTTTTTCACTTTTCCCTTTCCAACGAGCCTAGAGAAGATCGTGCCTTATCTTACACAGCAATAAGGCTGTTGAAGCAGGAGTGTGGGGACCATGGTGTGGTTTTGGCTCTGCTGGCTTGCTTTAGGTCTGTGGAAGTATCCCCTGAACTCTGACTTCAGGTCTCCATTTGTTAAATGAGAAGGTTGGTTTGTGATTTTTTTTTTTTTTTGTCTTTCCATTGAGAAGAAAGTCTGAGTGCTCCCTTCCTGTCCCACAAACCCTGGATTCTGATCTTGAGAGAAAGTCAGAGACTTATCTTTTCAAATGACTCACTGCTCACCTGAGTATGAGGTGACATATAGGTGCTTTGGCCAGAAGAAAGATCTGCATTGTTCTATTTTTAATAAGAAAACTGTCCTTATCCTTCTAATCATGCCCAGAGCTCTGCAAGTTCTCTACCTTGGAAGAACTGAGAGCAGAATGTGAGGTTGCTGCTTTCCCCAGCATGGATGCTGTGTTCAGCTTCCCCTTCCTCCTCCAGACAACATTTCCCAGCGAGGAAAATGAGGAACCACATTCAGCTGCCCTTGATAATGGTGCATATTGCTTTTGATACCATTACCTCCATTAAAGATGAATCTGAGGGGACTGAAAGATGGCTTGGTGGTTAAGAGCACAGGCTGCTATTCTAGAGGACCTGGGTTCTGTTCCCAGCACCTACATGGCAACTCACAACTGTCTATAACTCCAGTTCCAGAGGATCCAATCCCCTCCACTGGCCTCTGTAGGTACTGCATGAAACACACACACACACACACACACACACACACACACACACACACACACACACAAAACACCGATACACAGTTCTTTTGTCCCTTGGCTCAAGTCCCTTTGTGGCTCTCTATTGTTTACTAAAGGATGGTTGTAAGGCAGCCTGGTGTGCAGACCTTCCAGGCTGAGGTGAAGGTAATGAATGCATGCATGCTTTCCTTCACTCTTATGTGAAGCCCACTCACTGTCAGGGAAGACCTCTCTCCAGGTGGGGAGTAAAGAGCAGCCAGGGCCTAAGGGTGAACAGAATAGGTGGTAACGGGCAGTTGGGGAGAGGGCGAAAAGAAAAGCACCCACCTGAGAGGTAGGAGTGCACTGTGGAGCCCAGCTTTCCGCACAGTACACTAGATTAGGGCAGGCACAGCGGCTAAATTGTGTGGCTGCAGATAAAGCATGGAAAACTGTAATTATGTGGGAATGTCCAAAAAGGGAGTCAAGGAAGGGACTTAGTCACTCACCAACCTGAATGCCACTTCTCTCACTGGCCTTCTTTCCCTCCCCATCCCCCCTTTGTGTTTGCATCTACTTGGTGACTAGCTGTAAATTCCTTAACTGGGATATGGCACATGTTAGTGACATATTAGCGACACAGGAAGTCCAAGATGGAGACTAGAGAACAGAGTGGGTGACAGCAGCTGGGAAGCACAAGAACGGCAGATGTAAGACCCTGTGTTTTAGGAAGAGATGCAGGTGTGAGGTCCTGGCTCGAGAGGTGCTGTAGGGGAGGAATTGGGTCGAAGCTGTTGTCCTGAAGCTGGCAGGAGGGCAGGGAGACCTGCACAGGCCTGTGGCTCAGCCTGTGGAGGAGGTCCAACTTGAACCATTCAGCAGTCTTAGCTTGTTCGTGTTTCACCTAAGCAACAAAGACAACTGTGGGCACCACAGCTCTGCTAGTCACATAAAGTTTTCAGGGCCCTGGGACCTATCTCCTGCTGTGGTAACAATTGCTGAAGCCTTTAGCTGTCTTCAGATTGGCAGAGTAGAGACGACAGGGTACCTGTGAAGGAAAATAAAGAAGAAAGGGGACCAGAAGTCTATGTGTGAGGAGAAGCCCATGCAGGCTTTGATCTTTTTTCCTTCAGAGCATCCCAATTGGCCCCTGAGGCCTTTAGAATGGAGCAGTACAGCACAGTAACCCACCATAGGAGTTCCAGAGAATGGGCCTCCTGTCCACTCTCCTGGCTCTACTCATATTTCTTAAGAGTCACTGAAGCTTCGTGTTGTCTGGCACTGCATTTGAACCCATATCTTTTGGTTGTGAGCCTCTCCTCAGAGTGCCAGAGGATGTCATGAAGCCTCGGAGAGAACCTGAGAACCCACAGAGGTCAAACCGAGGCTGAAGGATTGGTGATCTCCATCGGCCCTGTTAAGCTGATTACTCTTTTCCAGAGGGTTGTGTCATCTGTCAGTGCAGCCCAAGCCACATTCTGAGCCTCCCATTGGTCCTTTGGTGGGCTGCCAGGTTATAACTGCTGTGTCCTCTAGACCTTTGCTATGTGGTGTGGAGGAACCCTTTTCCCTTTTGAACACTGAATCATGATTACTTATCTATAATGTGGTTTTCCTACCACATTCTGAATTCCCTGAAGGTAAAAGCTGTCTGATCCCTGTCTTTGTCCTTTGTCCCCAGCAGCAAAAAAAGATAGGCTGAAGAATGAATGAATGAATGAGTCAGAGATTCTTGGCTTGCTTTAGCTGCATCCACCCCTTTCCAGGTCCTCCCACATTCAAAACCTGCTGATTGGTCACCTGAAAGCTGTGTGTGCTAGCCTGATTCCAGGTCCGTTACAATGCTCCCTGGAGCTGGACTTTTATCTAGGTTGAGCCTGGACTTGCCTTGTGCGATGTCCCAAGCCTAAAGCCAAGCTGATGTGTGGGGTTCTCATTTCATTGGTATTTCCCTTTTGCCCCTGATTGAATTTCCCATGACTGGATTTCTCCAGGATTCCAAGGGAGATGCTGAGCTCATGATGTTCTGAGTGTGTCTTGCTTTGCTCTGTGATGCCATCACTTTACCACAAACATTACTATCATTTAGAACAGAGGTTCTCAAACTGTAGATCGGGACCCCTTGGGGTCAAATGACCCTTTCACAGAGGTTGCCCAATACTATCAGAAAATGCAGATATTTACATTACAATTCCATAATGGTAGAAAAATTACAGTTCTGAAGTTGCAATGAACTTAATTTTATGGTGGGGCGGGGTCACCACAACACCAGGAACTGTATTAAAGGGTGGCAGTACTGGGAAGGTGTAGAACCACTGACTTAGAACCAATAAAGATGCTAAAAGATCTTCATTCCAGTGATTAATGATATGAAATGTTCATCATCTTAATATCTATTAATAGTTCATAGTCAACATTTTTTCAAAAAATAAATTTGAGGTCATTCTTTTCATGAGAACTTTTAGTTTTAATACTCTTATGTTTTCATACTTTCTTGTTGCTGTTTTTGGATTTTTTTCCTTTTAGATATCAATCCCAGTTCCTTCTCCCTCCCATCCTCCCATGCCCACCCAACCACTCCCCCAGACCCATTCCCCATCCACTCTTCATTGTAACGTGTATGGTTTTTCCGCCCGCCGCCGCTGGTCTGGTCCCGCCGCCACGCCGCCAGCCCCAAATAATACGCAGAGACTCTGTATTTGATACAATACTGTTGGCCTGGTTACTTGTTTCTTATCGGCTAGCTCTGCCTTAATTATTAACCCATTTCTGCTGATCTATGTACTTCTCTTACCGGGGAGGCGGCTGGCATCCAGCTCTCTCCAGACTCTCCATCTTGACTCCTCCTTCCTACTTCCTATTTCCTCCTTGTCTCCTAGTCCCTCCTATCTTCCTTTCCTATTGGCCAACAGTGCTTTATTATTAACCAGTATGAGAAACATATACAGAATGACATCTCCCATCATCTCCTCTTTTCTGTCTAAATAAAAAGAAGGGTTTTAACCTTAACATAGTAAAATATATCTTCATGGAGGGTGAGGCCCTCCAGGAGGGATCATCAAAATATGTCAAGTCATTTGGGGTAGGGCCTTAACCCTCCCTAGTGCTCTAAGCAAAGGAAGTATCTCTCCATGGGGAATATGCTCCTGAAGTCCTTTCGTGCACCAGGGATACATCCTGGTTCCACTGTCAGAGGTCCCATAGACTTTCCAGGCCTTCTAACTGAGACCCATGTTCAGGGAGTCTGGGATGATCCTGCATCCAGTAGCTGATGGAAACAGAAACAGACACCCACAACTAAACATTGAGCTGTACTCCTGGAATCCAGTTGCAGAGAGGGAGGAGTGATGAGCAAAGGGGTCAAGACTGGGCTGCAGAAACCCACTGAGACAGCTGACCAAGGGGGAGCTCATGGACCCCAGACTGATAGCTTTTTTTGGTTTTTGAAGACAGGGTTTCTCTGTGTAGCAGTCCTGGCTTTCTGGAACCTTCTTTGTAGACCAGGGTGGCCTCGAACCCACAGAGATCTGCCTGTGTCTGCCTCCCAAGTCCTATGTTTAAAGTCATGTGCCGCCACCACCTGGCTTATACGTTGTTGTTTAATCAGTGGGAAGGAAATAGGGCCAGGGATGCTCATGGCACTACTGGGTTTGACCAACTATTTCAACACAACTCTTCACCTTCTTTCAGCGATCCATGTGCTTTCTGGAATTCATGTTTGGAAAGGCTTCCAGTAGGCATAGCAATTTTCATAATGCTGAGACTCCCAAGGACAAAAGTATCATCCAGAGAATACTAACTTACCTTTTCAATCATTGTTTACATAATTGTTACAATCATTGTTTACATAATCATCTAAAGTAAGAAATCTGGCTTATTTTATTTTTACATATTTGTTAGGTTGCTCCATGTTGGGCCTGTGGGCTTGAGGGGAATACTCAAATCTACAAGCCTTGGTGGTTCAACTTATTTAACTCATCTAAAGGTTTATTAAGATACATTAAACATTTAATTACTAGCAAATTTGATCCTGGTCCTTTGAATGTTCCACACACTGTAGGTAGTATTTGAAATATGGTAAATCCAATTATAATCCACTATTCTAACAAAGTGAAGCACAAAACCCAGCCTCCTGAGCACCATTATCATCATGGAGGGAACATGGCAGAATGTAGGCAGATGCGGTGCCGGGACTGAGAGTCCTTACTTCCTGACTCAGAG